CAACACCCTCGGCCCACCGGTCTAATTAATATGCGTCTGGGCCCACCCGTATAATACAATATTGTATAATACCCTCGGCCCACCCATCTAATTTAATATATGTCTGGGCCCACCCATGAATGTGATAACAAGTACCTACCCATCTATCTCATACACATCTACCTTAATACACTCATCTGCATAATATCCAACTACCTCGGCCCACCCATCTACCTAATATTCATGTACATCGGCCCACTCATCTACTCTATATATCCCCTGCATGGGCCCACCCGCCTCCATCAGGAATAATTTGCCTCCCGGCCCATCCGTCATAGTCGAGGATATTTTGATCATGGGCCCATGGTCCGCTGGCCCGTATTATACGGGATATTATGCACGTCCGTTCCCTCGTATTATACGGAAATAGGTCACTGTAATATGTGCTTTCGCCAGGTCAATATGGAGCTGTTCTGTGTACTCTGTGTTATAATTGTCAGTTGAGCCGAACTGCATGATCATCCGAGGATAGTGACAAGCAGCATGCAACTTCGGTAGGTTAAAATTGGTTCGAATCCCAAGATCGACAAAAATGAGCTTGTTCTCATGAAAAAGGTCTAGCGCCTCGTCCAGTAATTGAAGGGTCTCAGTGCCATGGCAAGGGTATTGCGCAAGGTACACGAAGTCAAGTAGCCCCCGCACAGCTCGTAGAAGGCGACCTGAATTGAGATTGTTGGGCAGACGAATGTCAATTATGATGCCGAGGAGGAAGCGGCATATCTGTGCATGTTCGGTGCCGCTTACACACGATAAGGTGGTGATACCTTTAGTGAATAATCGAATGTGATGGTTGGGAGGAAGCCATCGACAATGAGCATTGATTTCCGTGGCTCCACAAGCGGCCTCTAACCATGCCAAAAGGTGTTTCACCAAGCCCTGATATAGCTGATGCAACACATCAGGCGTGACACTCTGAAAAATGTTCACAAACGGGAGTTTCTCCCAGAAAGGATGTATCACAGGTTTGATTCCTACTGCGGCACATGCGCGAACAAAGGCAAGATTTCCTTGATCAAGTGCCGCGAGTGCATCCAGCACCTCACCTATTTTTCGAAGGTGAAGTTGTACTGTATTGCTTTCCGTGTCATCCTTCTCAACATCACATTTCGGGCAGTCGCTGAACTTGATTCCTGTCGCGAGAAGTTGCTCTGGATAATCACCGACAAAACTCGCAAATAAAGGGTGGCAGCGGCAAAGAGCACCATCTCCAGTGCACATATTGATGCCCTCTAATCCAGCATGTTCCAAAGGAGCAAGCACATGACTCAGGCAAGCGTGATATAGGTTGGCGATAGACTGACGGCATGAAGCCTTGTTGGCGATGTGTTCAAGACGAGTAGTTGGTAGATAGGCCAGAAGAATGTGAGCACCATGCGAAGGTTTGCGACGAATTTCCTTCGGGATATTACCAATGGTGAGATACACCAGGTATGCAGACTTGTTGCGAAACATAGTGACTTGCATTTTGTCTGTCGAGATGATAATCGGAATGATGGTCCCACCCAGACAATGCTGATCAAGTTTTTTTCTGAGGCATTGTAAGTTACGAAGTCCAATTGATGTCACATTAAGAGTTCTTACCTGCATGTTCCACCACCACTTTCCGGTATGCATGTCATGAAACAGATGGACAGTCTGATCTTTGTCAGTGTAATGGCGCTCTGGTGCAAACGTAAGGTATCTTGCGAAGTTGGGATCACCGTACAGTGACTTTATGCATTCAATGATGTCGCAGTAATACACATCAAATGATTCTCCTGCGATGACAACCTGCTCCTGTTGGAACTTGGGGCGTCCAGTTGGAAGTTCATGGTCGATAATCTTGTTCAGTTCATTGGTGTTCTTGAATGACAACCCTAAATGTTCACTAACCTAGTAATATTAGCTATTAATGAGTAGTACTCATGAAGCGAAAGAAACTTACTCCATCAATGGAGAGCAGGTCCGTAAATGCTGTAGACGTTGCTCCGCAAACTTTCACCCATCTTGCAACCTCCCATTTGATCTGAGAATTAAAAGGATGGTATGGATTATCATCGTTGGCGAGATGTGCCCCATATGCCATGTTGGCACCATGGTCAACGGAACTGTGCGACATACTTCGGCCAGCGCGTGGATCAGGATAAGGCACCCTAACAAAACCAGACTGGCCTTGTACACGAGCCTCAACGTCGTGACGAGCATCCTGTTGAATATCCTCCAACTTGTCATCTGTGAAGGCAAACACATCATCCTCCGGGTCATAGTCTTCATCAGCCTGAGGTTGCAATGGTGCAGCCTCCCATTCAGGTTCGAAGAGCAGATGGTCATCAAGATCATCCTCGAAATCACTATCACCTGCGTGCTCAAACTTGTCCTCATTGCCAATTCTGGTGTAGTCTCCCTCATCCATGGCAAGCTCAGCTTTGTTGTTTGTTCTTGATCATGACTGGCTGTAAAGTGTGCGACAATGTGGGTCGCAACTCTTTGCGATATGCTGGCTGAGACCAGTCACAGTGAGATCATCACAGCCACAAGCTGAACACGTGCGGTAACCTGGATCATTCATACTTATGAAGCTGAAGTGATACAAGTGGGGGATGAATATGAATATGATGAGCGGCTACTAAAGACTAACCAAGGGTACCGATACGAGTGGGGGATTTGGCCAGGAGGGATGACGAAGCTGAAACAAGGGTGTGGTAAGTAATGGCCCGAACAAATACTAAGTTCAAGGACTAACCCACCTTAGTAAAATTACGGTATATGTGAATATGAATATGACGAGCAGCTACTAGAAACTGACCGACAGTGCAGGATGATAGCCCATTCGCGAATGAGGAACACTCTACTCTGGGTATTCCGAAATGGGGAAGGGTGGGTAGGTATTATGGGACCATGTACAGCAGCCATAGCGAGCAAAATGGGCTGGATGATGGTGTCACAAAGAGATGGTCCAATTTGCCGTCATTGGTGGCTGGATCAACCTAGCAGATATTAGCACTGCAGGGTAGTCAGTACCCGATCAACCATATGAATATGATGAGCGGCTACTAAAAACTGACCGACGGTGCAGGATGATAGCCCATTCACGAATGAGGAACACTCTGGGTATTCCGAAATGGGGAAGGGTGGGTAGGTATTATGGGACCATGTACTGGGTATTCTGAAATGGGGAAGGGTGGGTAGGTATTATGGAACCATGTACAGCAGCCATAGCGAGCAATGATGGTGTCATGAAGAGATGGTCCAATTTGCCGTCATTTGCAGGGTAGTCAGTGCCCGATCAACCTAGTAAATATTAGCACTGCAGCCAGCAAAGTGAGGGAAAACATACTAAGTTGTGCTTTGATGGTGGTGGTACTGGTACAGGCTCATGTTTTGGGATAGCTGGGGATGACGATGAGAATCCGAGTCATGGGATACCTGGGGACGACGATGCTGATGGGGCAGTGTTCTGAAAGTCAGGGACAGCCTACAGCACCGCTGATACAGTGCTGGTGAGATACAGTGCTGGCGAAAATACAGTTTAGCACCCTTCACTGCTGCTACATAATTGCCCTGTTACATTGTGTTAGTAAAATTTTCAGTCCCATTCCCTTCCATTTGACCATCACTCACACTCATTTTTAGAAAAAATCTGCACGGGTCCCTCAATGCTCCTTTATTCTTTTGAGTCTCAAAAACAAAGAAATAATAATAAATGACTTTACCTCAGCAGGATCAAGGTAAGTGAGTATAAGCAACTCGGCAAGTGACTGACTGTGAGGCTTGACAGAAGCGCGTGGTGCCAAGAAAAAAGCTATTGAAAACACAGGTGAGCAACCGAAAACACCATCAATAAATCAAGCTGACCTGAGATTCAGTTTGGAAGCAAGACAAACCAAGACGCAAGAATGCTACAGCGACATCAGGCCAAGACCGTCCTGCCCCCAAAAAGAGAACTGGCGCGTCACCGGCGCCTACTCCAAGTCGGAACTCCAGCTCAAATGGCAAGTCAAACAGGACTGTGGCATCAAGAAAGCCGTCGACACTGAGTCCGTTGATACACTTAAAACTTGGTTATGGTACTTACATTGGGCACTGACAGAGCGTCATTGCGACATGGTGGAGAGCGACACAGATGATGACTTGCTGGAAGCTCCACTGATGGTTGAAGGTCAGCCTAGGTCACCATGACAAATAAGGAAGTTCGAGTCTCACATAATCATCATGTGCAGCGCAATATCGATGACCAGCAAAACTCTGCTGAACTTACGCTATGCAAGATGTGGCATTGCCTAAAGATGAAGATGAGCAGAGTGCTGACTCTGATGCGAGTCTGCCCAGGGACAAACCGAGTCAGGATGGCTTACTAACCGATTCAGATGGTAACAAGAGCAGTGCCACTGACAGTGAGGATGAAGATTTGGCTGTGATGAGGCTTTCAGATGAGGTTAGCTTTGCTATATCATATGCTTGTGAACTCATGTTTGAAACTTTGAAGGTCGTGTCGGTCATCACCAACAAGCAGCAGGTAGTATCAAAATCACGTGGCACTTCAAAAGCCGAGTTGGCCCGAGATCGCAAACAAGCGGTAGAGACTCCTACCTGGGCCAATTTGGATGTCGAATGTGCAGTTTCAGAGTCCATTGAAGATCCCTCGACTGGTGGTGACTCATCAGAATTTCAACTTTCTGACAATGAAGGCACTGCACTGACTCGGAAACTTACTTCTGACACGAAGCCTCGGAGTATCGCCTCACTCATTAAAACAGAAAGTGGAAAGGTGAAATTACTTGATCAGAACTTAGAGACTCGCAAAGTTCTTCAGTCCGCAATTGTGGAAGTCAAGTGCCACCTTTATTTCGCCAACAGCTATCCTGAACTGGTCGACAAGAACCAAGTCGCACTGCAAGCATTGATAGTAGTCGCCAAAAAACGTGGTGCGCATTCAATCAAAGAACGTCTTCAATCGGACAAATGGTATGCGTCACAACTCGGTAGCTTGGTGAGTTCAACTCACACCTTTTCATATCAGTCTCTAACCATATACGAGGTGGATGCTCGTGTTCCAATATTGTGCCATGAGTTGAAGGAAGACGCATGTGTGCATGCCGATGGTTACTTTCGCCTTGGACACACCAATACTGGGAAAGCTGCAGTGAGAAGGCTATTGGATAAGTTTGTATATATATACGCCTTGAAGTTTGATGTGAGATCTCTCCCCTTGCCTGTACTACTGACATTGTTGAAATTATACAGATCAATAATGAGGCCTCACCCATTGGAAAGAAGCCCTACCAGGGTGAACTCTTAATTTTCCTAATATATCGGCAGCTCTTTCATAGCTCGAAATCCATTGCCATCAAATTTGTGGAACACTTCATCGAAATCGCCAACAACAAAGGCCAGCGCCCCGAAGTCCCTATCCCTTTGCTGGCATTGGTTGCAACTGCGGTAATGTGCTTGTCGTCATTGTATGGATGTGCTGTTTAACCTCATTGCAAAGGTGTATGCAGCCCTTCTGTGGAAGTCGCAAGGTTCATCATCAAAATTCAACTTTACAGGAAATTTATTCAGCGAGACATACAACTATCATGTCAGGTTCCTGGAAAAACTGAAGAAGGACGCACCTGCGAAATTCCACTGTATGATGGCTGACATCTATGAGGCTGCACAGTGAGTTCCACTTAGGTAGTATTGCCTCGATGCTCACTCTGCTTGCAGGAAGTTGCGATACAGCGGTGCCGCTGCCGGTGGCCATGCTGCTGAGCTCGAAGCATTCGAGTTACTTGACCTCAACAATATGGAAGAAGAATGAATCGTCCCCTGCTCGTTTTCATAGTGTACAATACAGAATCATGAAGCTGATACATAGTCTCCCAGTTGGTCATAGTGCATGCTGTTATTTAAATTAGCGTACTGCCCATATACCCATTTTTAATCAAATTTAATTTTGTTCTTGTATCTTATTCTGTCTGATTTGGTTGGAATTCTCATCTAAGATCAAAAAATCAATTCTAAAAGTCATGCTAATGTGTTTGAATTACTGAAAATAGTTGCCAATTCTTGTGTTTTTATTAGGGGGTAAAAAAACCGAGCTAAGCTAGCTAAAACTCGAATTTGTAAAATTTAGATATAATGACCCAGGATTAGTTCGGATTAGTTCTAATGTTACATCTTTAAGTAAATTTGTCTGGGGAGGGTTTTCCTGATGATGCTCATTTGCCCTGGTTCTTATCAAAGTTTTAATCTAAACACATGGGTCAAAATTGCAGCCTAAGGAAAGTTGCCGTGTTTGAGTGAGTGGCACTGTACAGCGGGGGCAGAAGAGCTACACATCCATCACCTGTTCCCCTCGATTCCTGTCCGCCACACGTTACTACAGTAACGTGCATTCATGTACTGGAAAGGTACGAATGAACTCAATTAGATGATCAAGTCAGTGGCGATGGTGACCTCGTGGGCATCTTCGGTCAGCAGCTCGACACCACCATCCTACCGTCGCCTTTCTATTCGCGGTTTTATGAGATGTGGAGGGCAACAGACTATGTCGACGATGACAATGAATTGGACAAGGAGCACAGTATGAAGAAAGTGGGGGGCCCTGCATGAGTTTCATTTCAAGTTCTCTTCTCTCTGATGTACCTGTCCTGACGTTCTATGAGTTTCATCCCATCAGCTAATAGTGTCGCATCCGAAAGCGGACTACGAACCCATGCCATTTCTTGACGGAAAGGAACACGTCCCTAGATCTTTCAGGTGAAAGAAATATCTTTTGCATCATCTAAAGATCTGACCGCTACAACAACTGTTTGTAGTCGTAAAACGTTGAACGGCGCATATGTCCACTGATCAGTCGGGGCAAAAGCGGCGACCATCCATGGCTTCCTCAGGCTGTTCATCAATGGTTTAAATGCTTCAGCCACAAGATTGATGGTGCTCGTACAAGCTCTGCTTGTCATTTAACGTTCAACGTTCAATGATGACGATCAACCTTTCTGTACGACGATTGGATACTGAATGGGCACATGATGATGGAGTCCGGCGACCATTCCCTATAGGAATGACACCAGATTCTTATGACCGTGATCGTGACATCAACACACCCCCGAAAAATTGTTATTCGGCGCGCCGACCTAACCTTCGAGAAGAAGGCACTGCGCGTTCTATGATAGAATGATGCATTATGAAAATCATGCAAACGTCATACAACCAACATGTGACAACAAGCAACGTTGATCATGTCGTAAACGTATGTTGGAGGCTCTGTGAGATACGGGAATCGAAACTACCGGAATGCCTTAGAACGGGCTGTATCACTGGTTTGGGGCCGCTGATATCGATACGACCTTCACAAGTCAGAACAAACTTTCAGAAAGCACAGCAACAGCAACTGCTGGCCATGGGGCAGGTTCTGGATTAATCGCGATGATGTAAAACGGAGTGGCTAGCATTCGACCAACACACAGATGCATCATGATAGCGAAGTATCATCGACAATAATGAGCTCATGTGGGTCTGATAAGTAACCACATCCTTGTGTAGAGAAGACTTCTTTTCACGCAATGGACTCGAAGAACGCCGGAAGAATGGATGCGTCAGTCAGCAGACCCTTGTAAATGAGAAATGCGAAGCAAGGTGCTGAGAAACCCAGTGCCCTGCATGAAACTCGTGTGGAGATCAGGCTGGACGAAGTGGGCTATGCTCCGAAAGCACTGCTAAATGTGTGAACGAGAAGATCCGGTAGGTCTGAGGTCAGGTTGGTGATGAATGAATGATGGCATGCGGCCGGGTACGCTTAATTCAAGTTGTTGGGGTGGCCGTGGAGAACGTGTGATCACTGTGATGCGTATCATCGAAGATGCCGGACTAGCGGGACCAACGGAAGGGTCTCCAAGGACCGTTTTAGAGGTCTGTAGTGGACCTTCGGAAGCATTTCGGCGGCATTGCACAGCGCCTTTGGTAAAGTTATAACCACACTCAACGAACGTTTTGTTCACTCATCCAACACAGTCACAGTTCCGACAACATCCACAGTATAATGTCCACCCATCCTTCTCCAGACCCATTTCAACGTAGGTTTTTATCTTTTGTTCTTACCTTTAAAAACCTGACGTTCGTTGGTAGCCATGACTATGTCGCCATCTTCTAGTGTGCAACATTCGCCCCCTGTTGATCTCAGACGTATGACGTCCAACTCGACGCTGCTTACTCCCCAGAAAGATTCAATTAGGGAACATAGACTCTCAACTCATACTTCTCAGCACTTGAATACAACAAGGATGGGCTCTCGCTCACCTTCTTCAATTCCTTCATCGCCGACATCTGCGTAAGCCACTCCACTTTCATCAAATACTCACCTATATTTATCGCAACTACAGTCATTCATCGTCATCCGCAATTTTTGAGCGTGATATTGAGCCCATGCACCCTCCTTCCCCCCCTTCTCACCCTAATCCCCATCGCATTGCGCGTGCAAAAGGCACTGAACAACTCGAGCACAGTGTACCTTCTGTGCTCGATAGTGCTGCTTCAATTCTTGCAGCCTCCTCTCCCATGGAGGAAGATCACATTTCTGTCGTCAGTCCTTCGCGAGATCGTGATCGCCTCACTACCAGCGGTTTCGCTAGCCCAATCGGTAGCTTGAGAAGCAGAAGCCCAAGTCCATCAGGAAGGACGAGCTTGTTGCTGAGCATCCCATCTCAGCAGGGGCCCATTACTCCCCTTAATATTACGCCGGGTGTGGGAGCGGGCAGTCCGCAGCGGTTGAGCATCCAGACGAGCCCACTCGCTTTCCCCTCAAAACAGGGTACAAGTGGCAAGGCGTCTGCCGCACCTTCTATCAGCACGCCTGCATCTGTATATTACTCCACGCTCTCATCAGTTGAACCATCACCCACGACCACAACTGCGGAGCATCCTTCCTCTGCACTCCCCCCTATCGCCATATCAACACTCTCGCCTTCATCAACGTACACATCTTCACCTTACATACGTCCCATCACCATCTCCCACCCTCCGTCTCCAACGCACGGACCCACTAAGCGTCTCTCGTTCATGAGTTACGCCGATCTGCTCGCATCAACACCGGCATCAATGGTTCCGTTGTCATCATTCACTACCTGCGCAACTCCTGAACCGCCACCTCATATTCCTGGTGTGGAAGGTTACGCCCTCAACCAACATGATGCTGCGAGTCTTAGTGGTCGTGAGCGTGACAGCATCGCCATGCTCGATGATATCGGTGGTGAATGGCAGCGCGAGGGTCTTGGACGAGGCCTCGAAGAGAGATTAGAGGCCTTGATGATCGTCCCTAGTAAAGCATAAATCTAAATCTCGAGGCGCGGAAGTCAAACAGTCCCGCGTTTTTGACTCGAGCCCGACATGAAACTAATGATATCTTACGATTTCACGCTGTACTAATCTGTCGTTCGTTCTATGCATATCTTTCGCTATTCCTATTCTTATTCCCGCCCTCGATACCGGCTACCTACTACTTGTTTTCCACGACATCAAGTCAACAAAAATATCTATGTATGATCGTCTTATTTTGTTACTTATGATATGATCGATTTTTTCGCGTTTAGGTACTAGGGGATACTTTACTCTTGTGAAGATTTCCCTTGAAGTTGATGTTTAGTTTCGGGTATTCGTATACTAATACGATACAATAGTTGAGATAGTTGTTGTCAATTTTAGTGTGGTTTAGATGGCATGCCTTTGATCAAGCCAAGCAAGCATAATATTATGCACAAGGACACGCCTTTGGTCGTCTCGTCTTGAGAGAATATGTGGTGGGAAAAGGAAGACAATGGTTGGTCGCTGCCATGAGAGTGTTCTCCATTGAATGCGATCCATCAAAGCCACGAACTGGGAGTCATCGATGCTGCGGCCGCTGCGGATTGGCTGGAGATGCGAATATTTGGTCATGACTTCACTCATGGGTGTCGGCCGCCAGAGTGCTGTTTCTAGATCTCATGCTCCGAGGACTCCCGCAGAAAATCTCCCTCAGCAACACAGCAATCGAGCAAGCGCAGCGTCCGCACCGCATGACGTCGTGGATTGGCAATAGCCACCGAGCCCACTTTACAGCTATTTTCATATCGAGACAAGAATCTCGAAAATACACTGCTTTCGTTTATTATTGGAGCGAGGCGATCCATTGTGCTAGTAGCTACTAAATTTTGTAAGTCGTACGTTGATTGTGGGGCTGAGCAGGGCGGTGTAAATGTAGTGACGAGACCAGGGAAGTAGATCCCCATTGCCCAACTCAGCAGTCTATCCAAGTAAGCAAGTGGATAGTCAACGCAAGCCTAAGGTTTGAACTTACCAGTCGAACAATAATCGCGGTTTGGTGGTTTACTTGCACTCCGACTCGGGACACGCGCACGTCCATCCCGAGCGAATGTCCAATTCCGTAAGGGAAAAAGGCTGCGCAGATTCCAACGCGCAGAATGCTGCCATTTGAGCCTTTGAAGAGTCTGAGGTCGAGGAGACCTTCCACAAGAATCTGATCACAGAGCAGCTGGATGATGTCTCAGTGGACAACAAGTTTGAGAGTGTTCACCGATTTCTATCCATGAGTGTTACATGACGGCGCAAAAGATGTACATAAAGCTCACATGCTGCATTTCCAACACAACAGAGTATGTTCGCTGGCCTCTGTCAGAAAAGTTGCCATCGTTGCCAACAGGCATCGTGCGCGTAACTTGAAAAGTTTAGACCTGCCTGGAATTTAGTCGCTGCAACAGTGTCCGCAGAGTTTGTATAATGCATGTGAAGGTTGAGTGACCTGCAGAGACCCGAAGATAAGCTATTATGTTACCCGCTCTACCTGTCAAATTTGAGTTCTCAAGGAGCGTCAGTCGAACGCTGAGCGCTCATAGCGGCAGGCAATGACGTTCACAACACCCCAGTTGATCTGGATGATTTTAATTCCCTATCATATCTCGCTGGGATAGAATTATTGTTGTCTTGATTAAATCATGGAACGATCGACTGGGGAGGGTAAAAGTACAATAGCAGAAGATCACAAAATATGTTCCGCATCAGTCCTGAGCGATTCTGAACTCCATGAGCATCGTCTCTACAAGATCATAGGTTTGGGTGAGCACTAGACCTGCACTGGCCCTGCAAATTATAACAAATCAAACATCGTCAATGTATTCAGGCATGGAAAGAACTTGCCCAATGGCCTTGTATTCCTTCAAGGTTCGCTCCTTGCCATTGAAAAGAAACCACATGATCATGTCCATTTTGTGTGTTAGGTGACTACCGAAGTTCAGTAACGTAGGTTCGGGCGCCTTATGATCCTGAATGTATGATCAGACTTTAACCAGCAAGCTGAACTCTAAACTTACCTTGCTGGACTCGTTAGCCTCTACATCAGGCTCTTCGAATGCGCGCGAGAGTACGCACTCATCTATCACACGATATTAATTCTGGAGTAAACCTCACTTCAAAATGCAGCGGACTCACGAATCAACACTCGGCTGTTTGGTCCCATTGCTTTGCGAACATTACGGAGAATCACCCTTGACTCCTCGTCCGGCCAGTTATGAATGATGCTCCTTAACTTCATCAATTATTGAGCAGTCTATGCTGAATGGGAACAAACTTAGCACGTACGTAGTAAACATCCTTTCCGACGACAGGTAACTCCTCCAGGAAATTCAGTGGCACGAACTCTATACGCCCATCGAGCAGCACCTCAGGAGCGTTCTTCTCCCATGTCTGATCAAATATAAATTTAACTTGTCTGCTGTGGATGTCCGGACTCACATTTATTGCCAGCTTTAGAGTTTCTGGGAGCTCCTGATTGGTTATTCTGAGACGAGGGAACATTTTCGCCAGAGGAATGGACATTGCTCCGATTCCAGATCCAACATCCACCACAGAGGATACATTGTCCCAAGGGTAATCTTATGGCCCGCTTCAGTCATGCCGACGGTTAAAAAACGGTGGTCACTCACAATGCAGCACCGTAGAAAAGCTCAGGATCTCAGAATAGCCCATCATGCTTTTTTGAAACACCTGTGTATGAGATTCTATGAGCCTCCAATCAGTTATGAGCGGATAGATCTGCACGTACATCGCGTGCCTCATCCTGTACAATATGGTAAGGTAAGGCATGAAAGGCCAGTACGATGACTCAAACTCACGTCCATCACCCAGAAGCTGTCCTTTTTACTTTCATTTCTGAGAGTAAATATCCGAGGGGCTTTGTCGACCTTGTCCGACCTTGCAAATTCTTGGTCGACCATAGTCTCATAGAGAACCGCACCATATTGTGGGAGTTCTCGCTGAATTTTTATATAACACCCGACGTTGTTTGTTGCCTTGAGCATGAGGGAGAGTCGTGTGTTTGCGAATATGTCTTGCTTAACTGCGGAACACGAAAGGCCTCAGAGAGAATTGTCAACGGACAGTATGATGCAAATTACCTTCCTTGAAGCAACCCCTGAGGGTCAAAACGCGCAACACACGTGCGATCTTGGTCTTATCTAGGTTGACTGCGTCAGCCAACACATCCAGGCTAAGACCTTCCGGGTGTTTGTCCAAGACGTCTGCAATACGTGATTGTATAACGACGTCTATGCATGCCGAATTGTGATTATTAACAAGCTAGGATGGTCAGTAAAAGGCATACAGGGCGATCTATAAATCGGCACGTACATTATATACCGTGTTTTGGGGGGGAGCCAGTATTGTGTTCAATTGCTCGCATGCACCTTCGAGCAGCCTGATTGCCTTTCTGAGGGCAAGTGTATCTGTCGCAAAGTCGAGGGGGTGGAAGGTGCCTGCATCGACACTAGGGACTCCATGTTCAGTGTTCTTGTATTCTGCCATTGCTTTGCGTGCGGAGGAGTTGATGATGTCCAAGAGGGCTTCAACCTTGAGTTCATTTGGCTCCGTCATATTTGGGAGTGTGCGTGATTCCTTATTAGCCGTTCAGGCCTCAGGTTTTATATTCCTCGGCCATATATCATCTAGCTGTTTTGCCACGGCGAAGACATTCAACAATGGACATGTGGAAGCGAAGCTAAACCTAGTCTGAGATCTGACCACCCACAAACCCTGACTCGCTTCCAACTCGGATGATACTGGTTGCTACTCGTGTAACGGTATCAGACGCTAAGAGCCGGCACATCTAACCCTGAATGTCATCCGAGCAAGTAGATAAGCCAAAGGTTAACGTTCAGGTACTATCGGCTACCACAACTTCGGACTTCGGACAGTCACATCCGCCGAAGACAAGCTCCGCTCGGCATCCATGGCCAGCACAGGCAGCGTTTCCAAACACTGGTTGGTTGTCGTAACCGATAGTTGAGGTTAGTTAGTGATACGGTAGCGAGCAGTTCGCCCGTCTTTCCATCCTAGATATCCTCCTGTCCCAATTTGTGATCGGGACCAACCTCCCAGTCGGTTCACCCCTCCAGCATGAAGTTCATTGAAACTATGCAGCCCTTTCCGCTGATGGAAAAGTGCTGGTCACTGGTTGCCGGGACAAAAACGCATATGTATGGGACATTCACGCCATCCTCATAGACGCTAGCCTTGAGGACCTACTATTCATTCCTCATGTGAGTCCAGGTCCCTCGTGCTTCTCGAACCACACTAATCTTTCACTTGCAGGTCCCAACTCAAAAGTCGTTAAAGGACGTACGTGCCACATTTCTTTACCCTGTTCAACCATTTTAAGATCGAATTCTAGACTGATGCTACCAGACGTCCACCCGTCGAATACCACCAGGTTTTTTCGACGACACCCAAGTGAGTCCTCTACCTTTTTGACCAGCTCTTTTTCTGATCTCTATCAGTCCTCCACAGCACGTGGTATCCATATCCTCTTTTCTGCGCACAATTCTCGCATTCATAACCCATCCTCCTTCTGCCATTCCACGTGCCATTCTCGAACACCTTTCGTCGTTCTTCCACCACTCTCATTCCGATGTCGATGGAGCAACTGAACTTCAGCAACACCCAAGGCGCTCCATCTTTTCTCGTGGACTTCGTATCGTCGAAGTTGCTGCAGTACAGGACAGAAAGGTATTTCTTTCTCCTCGTCCATTTCCTATTGCCCTGGTTCAACTATTTCTGTCTAGGCATTGTATGTTGCTCCACGGCCGCGGCCGCAGCAGCAAAGGCAGTTGCATGCCCAAGGCTCGTCGTCGCAATCTCAGCCTACTACCACACCTGCTCAAGGTACCAGGACTGCCGCACCAGGTGCAGCAACTGCGCAGTCACCGCCCATCCCATTATGGGCTCGTTTTGTTTTGTCTATCTGTTGCGCATCTCCCCGCACGTCAATGGTCATTGATACAGGAGCAGCACATGTACAATCATCTTACTCTTCACGTCTTCCGCTCTTCCAACAATCTTGTTTCCTTATCGGGACATTAGTCTAATCATGCTAACAGTCGCGACAAAAATGTCATACCTGTGTCCAAGCTTAGAGTCCTGACGTGCGACAGGTATGCATAGCAGCAGCACCTGAATACAAAATGAAGGATGGCGCTGCCACCTTTTGGGTGACCCTGTCGTTGCAAAACCATTTCCTCGGACTTGTTCTTCGCAACGATGTTTCATGTTTGAAAGGCATGAGTATCTTGTTCCAACATTTTTGTCAGTGGTAGAGAGCTAGCCACGGTTCCATTGAAGAGTCGTTTCGTTCTCTTTTTTTTGCCGTGCAACTCCCACACACATCAACGTCATAAACATAGACACAGAACTAGTTTCTGATTCTTCTGTACTCTTATCTCTTTCTTCATATCATTTCGCAACTACGTATATTAACATTGTTTCCTTGTCGTAAGACTCGAGTAATGCATCGAACTCGACACCAACCGTTGCGAGAAAAGCATTGTAAGATCAATTAGAAGGATGAAAGCCTGGAACTTAGCACAGATGATGGTTTGTTTTCGTACACAATCCATTCTCCGTCTAGATCTTCGTTTCGCAACTCAATCTCGTCACCTACTAGGAGAAATTAGAATATTCAACGCGATGAAGATCTTTCCGACCGAGACCCAGGGAAATTGGATAATGAACACCTGGCCACAGACCAGTTTACTACGCTCGGCGTATCGTCTGGAGAGTCAGGCAGCTCGAGGAGAGAACGATTCTACGAACGAACGAACAATTATGAATGTTCACCGAGTACGCCTTGTCCCCGAGAACTGAATCAATTTATCTTCCATAATGATCAGCAGATCGCGGAGCGAGACTGTCTTGTCGTCATATGTGAGATATATCTCCAGGTCTTTATCATACCACCGTGGACGGTCTGTTTCGATGACTGAGAATGTGGTGTAATGCAATTGTAGCCTGCGATGCGCAACGGGAACAGCGGCATTTTGCCACAAATTTTTGGTGGGTAGGATGCCAAAGACGCCAGACGGTGGATAGGCAATGTTTTCTTGCAACGTGGTGACACGGGTCCCGGTCAATCTCCAGTTGGGGGGCTTGTCAGCAATGTCTCCAGTTCAGTCAGGGTGTTTAAGTAGCCCGTATGTCATCGAAGACTCAGACAAATGAACTCTCGAAGGCCGTGTGGCAGCATGACTTCGCTTTGCTGTTGAACGTTGAGAATCCGTAGATGCTTCTGATGCGGCACAGGTTCTTACTGGAAAACGCCATGACTTGGAAAGATTTGGCTCAAATTTGGACACCAAGGTGGCGCACATTTGCACTTGAGCTATTGATAAACCAATGTGTACGGTGCACTAGTTCACGCATTATTATGTGCTTTTGCTGAAAACTCGTTCAATAACAGTGCTACGGCATGGTCAACGTGGTAAGGGTACCCAAAGCGCTAAGATTGGATACTACTATCTCTTGGTAGTGACAGAAGAACAGACTCAGTTAGTCGTTTGGAAATGCTTATGAACGTCTCACTGCCTAGATGAACCACGATATGAACATGATAACAACCACACACCCACCAATATTCGTCGTAAGCTTTAGCACGTTGTACAGAAGTTCGATTGTGAAGCGGATCATCCTGGTGAAGGGCACATTAATCAATTGCCCCCAGCAGCCACATAAGCATTGCATATGGGAAACTGTGAACGATGGCAAGGGTTTTCACTCCAAAAAACGTGCCTAAGCAGATTGGTTAGCGTGGCAGAAATGGACGCAAGGGCAACAACTTGCCGCTTTGTTGGCTGATTCAAAACCGTATATCTGATTCTGACGCGCCAGAAGGATCGATCGAGGCGGTCAAGGAGCTGGTGATGATGATAATCGAGAGGCAGGAAGCAATGATTCCAATCGACCGTGACTGGCCAATGTTCATGTTCGACACTGAGGAAGCTGACGTTTACGGCTAACATGACGGTTGACTGGGAATGGGAGTCGAATTGTGTTCAAGGGATAACTAATAATATGCTATGAAACGCATATAAAGTGAACGCGATAAAGAGTCGAATGGCTGTGAAACAGGATATCAGAGAAAAGGGAGAGGCAGGTGAGTGCAAAGAATGTAGATCCAGGAGTGATCGATGGCTACTAGAACACCGGCCAGTGCCCTTGCGGAATCTCTAGCACCGAATCCTCAAGCATCGACATCTTCCTGAAGTCTTTCGCCACTCTCGGTGCGAAGAATGTAGAAGCATAAGTTTGAAAAATGGTGATAGAATGGTGAACCCAGAATCGCTACCAAATGACAAGTGGCAAGGAAAGCGAATGTTATGCTCAGATAAATTTGAACAGTTTCGGAGTGAGATGCGAATCCCGTGAGCACGATGGCTGATGAGGAACTGTGTAAGTCGCGATCACGTATTACGAGGTGAACTGCGCACATATGAGCAGAAGTACCACTGATATGGTAAAGATGATGATTGGCACTGCCAAACCCAGGAGGTGCCAGAATATTCTCCAGCGCCTCTCGATTATGATCTGTGGTGAGAGGTCAACTCTGACCTGCCACCCCGACAACGAACGACACGTACTTTTGCAGCACTACGTTGTTGAAAAATGATTCCGGAGGCAGATACCTTTAACTGGAACAATAGCCCAAACAACGAGAAGATAAGCGACTCCGCCAAACAGGCGTAAGATGAATTAGATATATAGTTGACATCTTTCGCAAGTGGCGGATTTGAGGAGATAAAGACCGCCGCAGTGGCAAGCACGAGTCCTTGCTGCGCAAGAACACATCAATACGATCAATTTGAATGAATGACTCCCATCATCGACTTACCACTGTGCTCACTTGATTGAGCTGGGTCAGATATCGACTATGCAGCTCTTCCCAGGAGTTTCCTTCTTTCAAGAGGTCGTGTAACCAGTGCAGATCGCTGCGCCAGGTGAATATGAAGCAGCATATTTGGAAGATATGCCGAGAAATAAAGGGTTTTGGAGCATTCCATTTGGGTGGAAATTCGTCGAAAAAATCATCTGGGGGAGTGTTCAGTTGTGATAACTGCGAGTACCCACTGGCAACTCGATTACTCTGATTTGGGCTGGGCATAAGTAGCGGTAAGGTGGCAGACGACATACCTGAGAGGAACACTTATGAGGTTATATAGGCAATGAAAAGGGTTTATGCATGCCTGTAAGCACAGGGAAGTATGTAATTGATACGTACCGGGGTTTAAGCAAGGCTATGTAGCACTGGACGTTACATAAAGAGTTAAAGTGGTGTCAATTGGGGGGTTAGCAGAAGCGCCAGCGCCATTTTCCTGGACAGAACTGAACTCGCGCGCTCAGCAGAACCTAGAATGTGATATTATAATGGACATACAATGAGTATAGGGGATGGAAGAAATATACACTGGAAAGGCACATATGCTGATGGCATGTACATTCCAAGGTGGTGATAAGATTCTCAAGGAAAGAAAATACGCGCGTACTGAGTGACATCAGCAAAAGTGGCGCAAGCTGACAAGGCCTCGGCAAATGCCGTAAGCCTTGCGTAGAGTTCCAAACATGGCTACAGACCTTTACGGGCGTCGTGCCAGGCATTGTAAGGCTCCCAGATGCTCACAAAGTAATGTTATAACCACGTCACTCGCACATGTATGTATGCAAGAATTATCAACACAATAGTAATGTAATATGATATTTCTTCCCTCACACGGCTGAAAGACAAGTCCTTCCAATGCATTCTAATACTCGGCATAGTCACCATAATCCTCTTCGGTATCTGCGGCACCCTCTCCGTCCTCAGCACCAAGAACGGCATCATCTAGTTCATCCTGCGAGCCTTCCTCTTCTGAGCTGTCATCTGATAACAACTGCTCCTCTAGGTTACCATAACCAAACTCACTGCGCTCATCATCCAACACTGAACCATCCTTGTCATCATCAGCCTCTTCGTCCGATTCCTCGTCTCCATCAATCAAATCTGTGTCGAACTCGTAAGTAGCACTCTGTAAGTTCTCTGCTTCTTCAAGCTCATCTTCCGACTCAGACCGGCTTCCTGTACAATCCATATGCTCCTCACTGGAACTGCTGATGCTGCGCATGTCTGCATCTGCTGGTGTGTCTCCACGATCATTGCCGGACTCTGAGTTGATGTCCTCATTCATCGGCGAACCTGGTATGTAAAACATACCGGTGCGCTCGCTTTCCTTCGTAAACGGCACTGAGTCAAGTGCATCTCGGTCCTTGTAGAAGCTTTCTGTCGCCTCTCGTGTGGTCTTATGTCCGACACCACCACCACGGAACCGCATGAACATGTCGCGGTCTACAAATCTAAAAAAAAAGTAAGTCAGCCATTTGTTTTGCAAGTAAAAAAAACCACCGACTGGTTGACGTAGTACCAGCTATAATCTGTGTCACCTTCACAAGCCTGTCGAGCGATTGATGGAGGAAGAAGGTTTGCGGTGGACCCATGTGCGAATCCTGGGATCACATGGACACCGCGAATCACTTGTACAGGGTTGACAAATCCAAAAGCATCTGCTCCGACCTCATTGGCATCATAAAACCCAATCCGGTGCAGCCGACGTGCAGCCCAGCCTGATTTATGATTAGAGTCTCGACAGAACCAGCGCACCCATAGGAAATCGACACGTCGTGAAGCCCGGTCATCAGAATCTGGACCAAGATACCTGGCATATACGTGAAAAATGCTGATAATGCGTGCATACCAATATGGGTGAGGAGCGAGTTCACCAGGTTCACTTTCCTCATTGCCTAAGAGCATGATGTCTGCATGTGTATGTGGATTGAGCAAATCTTGAGCTCTTCGAAGGTTGTATGTTGTGTAGTTGACACGGAGTACTTTGTGTTTATAGATCTTATTGTCGAGGATGATGAGTGAGTTCTGCTGCACAACAGTAAATGTGCGTTCCTCAGAATCATCATTACCAAGAAAACGAGTAAGAATATGGTCCTTGAGCCGCGGTAAAAATCCTATGCAAAATCAGATAGACCAAAACCCACAGTGACTGATAGTTACCTTCACTGCAAGGTCCTCGTGGTTCCTGTGCAGCCATGAAGTGATGTCCCAGTGTTGGCGGCGTGAGTTGGAGATCTGATACTGGGTCTCCAGAGAACACTGTGGCAATGACTCTGTTTCAGCAAAGCCAACTGAGGGAGAAGAATCTTCTGCATGGTTCAAGCAACCTTCAGCTCGTTGTGCGGCAGCCTTCTGTCGAATCTTGTGAAGGAGTCGTTCCCAGCGCTGCTGTTTTGCGATACCCTGTGCAATTTTGATCTTGTTAGTGCGTGCATAAAAGCGTTTCACATGGCGATGCTCCAGTTCACCCTGCAATCAAAACTAGAACCATGAATCAAGAGCGGAGATGTGTGTATTAGCGGACCACTTGTGTCGAAAAATTGTCAGTTGTCCCAAACAGCCAGATTGACTTCACATAGTCACCAAGTGCATGCAACTTGTAGGTAGACATGTTGAAATATTGTTGCCGAGTGCCCTCAGTGGTTCTCTTGTTACCTTTGTTTGTTGGCATGGCTTTTGACTTCCCCTTGGCCGAATATGCAGGTTTTCGGCGCCCCCGAGCAGCAGCTTCTTTGGGTAGCTCTTGTGTTATGAATGAATCACATGTAGACTGCTTGAAGCGGCGGAGAGCTCGTCCTAGCCTGGTAGTCGAATTGTCGAGGAAATTGAGTGTTGTTTCGGTGTGCATCCGAAGCTTTCCAAGTGCATGCCAGGTCGCAAGCTCAAAAAGTAAGTTGAGAATGACGTCGTCATGATCAGGTAGCAAGCCCTCCATTACTGGAATACAACACTATATATGAATCGAGTCATTAGACAGCTAACAGTATACTAAAGGGTGGACAGACCTGCAACAAGTCTTCATAATCTCTCGCAGTGAGTTTGGTGAGATTTGATACATTCCGACTGAACTTTTGAATAGTGTCCCTCCCGAACATTGGCACACAGTGAAATCTTCAAAATATTAGTCTTTGGATGCATTAGATCACAGAACTCACCTAGCATCGAACCGTGTAATAGTATCTCCACCAAACGCATGCAGAATCCGTAGTAGATGGGTGAGAGTCCCTTTCCAAACACCGAGTTCAAATTCGTGCATAAAGTCGGGCACGAACATCAAATGAAAGTCAAATCCAAACCTGGATAGTCGTTCAGAAAATGCATTCTTTGATTCTATCAGTCAAAGTTATCTTAATGAAGTTTGAAACTTACACGTGTCGGTACCAGTGACATTGGCCCAAGCAACTTGTCGATCACAGTGCTGCCAATGTTGCGTCCTTTTGTAAAGATCCAATCGCACGTCCCTTTTACGCCACAGTCTATCCAGCTTCGTCCCAAGGTCAGCAATCTTCTCCTTAGGAATGAGGCAGCGTGGACAGGGAAATTTTCCCAGAAATTTGATGCATGCAAGAAGAATCCTGTCAGTGTTTGATTAGTTTCATGGCGTAGTAGTGCAGGCAGAGTACTTACTTTTCAGGATAGTCAGCAGCATATGTAAAAAATCGAGGAAATACTCTGCGCTTCACGTTATCGGCAAACCGCACCACAATACCATGTTCATATGTGTGCATGAATTCTTCGTCAAGGAGAAACAGCCAAATGGCTTGCATAAGTTCTCGCTTGAGATGTGTGAGCACTGCGCTCGTCGCTGCTTGCCCATACAATTTATGGTAATATTCATGGACAATGTCTGGTAACTTGAAGGCAAGTCAGCAAACTTTGCAAACTCGATCATGAAACAAATGCAAACCTTTGGGATATACACCAGATGATGAGCAGCGAATGCAGAGGGACAATTCCTGATATACTTTGACTGATTTCCGATGAACATGTAGATTGGCCATAGCACAGCATGTCCAAATGAAGCAAGGTGCGTCGAGTCTGACCAAAGCATGATGGAAGCAACAACAGTCTCCAGCTGACAACCAGGCTCACGGGGCTGTGCCTTTATCTTCTCATGCTCATCAAGCATAGCATTGGCTGTGTAGACCTCTGTAATGATACGTTCTGGAAATTCACCCTCGTCAGGCTGCCAGAAGAGTTTGTATGGGACATTGTGAAATGATTTCGAAGCGACATCCTCGTAGGCTGACCTGATAACCTCTAGAGGCTTGCGGTAATAGAGTCCATCCACGGCACAGTCAGGTGCATCAGCTTCAGATGTGTACCTGTGCTTCTCACCAGGCAGCTTGATATTGACAGACGCCTCGTGCCACTTGTCAGAGGTGCTAAACAGCTTTGAATCAGGGTCCTCGTCAGCCTGGTCCATTCTTTTGCCTCCCGAAACGCAGAGAAATCCCTGAGGTCCTCACGCTCAAAGTCATCCGCCAATATGACTCCCTGCACAAGGCGGTCAACATTAGCCAGAGAGTTACCACTGGATGACTCGTAAAACCAGTTCATGAGACGAAACATGGTAGCATTGAGAAAAGGTGCAAAAAATGTGCGATTGACTGCTTCAATAGCAGTACCAAAGCCTGCATACCAAGGCCGCTTGTTTGAACCGTTGGCCTGTTGGAAAGTACGAGAGTCACATACATCATCAAACGATGAAGTGTTCTCGGGGTCATAGGAAGGGAAAGTTCCTTGGTATGAATGGAAGGTGCCAAAAGCATCCTGTTCGGTGTGTACCCACACTTCTCCTTCTGATTCGGTAATACCTGAGTCAGAATGAACAGGAGATTGTGGAATGGTGTGGGCTACATCATCTACTGGAGGTGGAATCGGAACGGGGATGGGAAGGGCAGGAAGTTCATCTCGGTAGCGTGAACGTAGTTGCTGCCTGCAATTCTGAAGACCTGATGCTTGTGCCAGTGGTGGGGGCGAGGGCGAATGATGTACTGGCAATTCCTAGACAGCAGCATGAATACCCTGTATCAGTCTGACAAAAGAAACATTCACTTACATATGGCTCAGGATTCTCAAACTCTGGCTGGTTCGTCTCGTTGAGTGAGGGCTCATCGACTAAGGGAGCTTCTGACTGAGCATGTGGAGCAGGAGGGGGCTGTGGGGCTTGGCGCTCGCGACGGGCATTCATGACATTGTTTGAGGCATCTCTAAGGCCTTTGCACCATTAGTTCTGGTGTGTTGACAGACCGCGTGCTGATTTGGCAGTATAATTGCAAGCAGGGAATATGAACGACATGACGAGGATGAAAGTGAGTAACACAAGGATGGTACACTTTGCAGGCATCGCCTGCGTGTATCTGCCTGAGTCGCTGCAGGCATGCACTGCGATGGGGAGGCAAGGAGTCAGAACAAAGGACACATTTTATATGAAATCGGACCTGCCACCTGATGAAAACCTGCCTGCAAAACTCTACGCTCCCAAAGAGCATCCTGGCAGTGCTGTGCACCATATGGTGATGTATTCTTCTCTCCTGCTATAGGTCCAACATTGCCATTCTCTCCCTCTGGCTGACGTGCTCGACCAAGCCTCTGCGGATCATGACTGAAGCCGATAGACTATGTTTGAAGAAAGTAACTGCCCTTGTGAGCTGAAGGAGGATCGTGAAATGTGTTGTAGAGTGCAATTGTAGAGCAACTCACTTGAACGGGAGGGCAATGCTCGACGTATATACTCAATAAGTCAGTATCTTTGGTAGTTCATTGATAACCAGATTTGAACAGTCTTGGATGTAGAATCATCACTGTGCCGCCATAGATAAATAGGTGGATTTGGCAATCGAACTCTTGAAAGACGAGTACAGAGTGAGAGCTGAACCTCATTATGGAGATGATATTTGCAATAAAGGTCAAGTTACATGGGTGTCGGCTCAACACAAGAAACAACGATATTCATGCGACATCAAATAAGGATCAAAAGCAGGTCCAATAGCAAGCACGATTCGTGCAGAGGGTCTTCTTGCTTGTAGCGTACAAGCTTGAGAGAAACACCCCAAAACATGGTGACGATGGCTGGATATGCTGTTGTGGTGGTATGGCAACAAGGATGAATGAGGGTGATTGAAATTATGCGAGCGATCGAGGGGAGTTCCTGATGGAGCATATCCCCATGTGCTGGATTCATCTCCCATTTACTCTCAGCTGACCACAGGTCGACCGTTACAAGAAAAAAAGAACAGTCAATGTCCCTGAGTGGTAGGTAATGAGCTGCACAAAAGGGAAAAGAAATGTTTCTGCTTACTCCACATCTACGATAGAGTTAATCTTCTCTTTGGACAACCATCTGCTGCAGGCGCGAGTGGCCTGCGATCCTGATAATGAATGTTATAAGGTTATGAGACAAAGGCGTGACGGTGAAGGTACAACAATTCAGATGGTGAGTCTGAATAATGTGTTGGGTCTTGCAGAACCTAGCTGCTATTCGACCCTAAAGGGTTTCTGAACCAGGCTCAAGGCTCAGAGTAGAGGAAATATCATAGAAAACTACTGAGCACTCAGACTCATACTGGTAACTGGTGAAAAGATTACTTGCTTATGTAAGCTACAAAAGTGCCAACATAAGGTAAGGTAAAAACAGTCTCTACAAGCCCAGCCAGAAATGAATCCCTACAACGGCTCACACACTTTATCACCAAAACTGCACATACGGGCACGCATAGAGTGTTGTACTACTTCAAGGGAATAATGCCAATTGTTAGTCGGATATCGTTCTCCGCGCTAAAGGTGAAGATGCGAGGTTGGGTGAAGGTGCGAGGTTGAGTGAAGATGCGAGGGCAGGTGAGGGCGAGAATGTGCAGAGTCAACCGGTTCAGATTTAGGTTGATTAATGGATGGCAGGGTGTAAGACGCGTAAGTAGTAGAGGGAGGGTGTTGTGATACTGGAGGTGGGAATGCAGATTGCGTAGCTTGGCGAGGGTATGCATGCTGAGCTTGGTATTGATATGATGTTGTAGTTGTCGGAGGAGTGGTTCAGGGTGAGAAAAGGGCGGGTGATAATGGGAGGCGGGTGATAATGGGAGGCAGGTGAGAATCCAAGGGCGGGTGAGCATGCGAGGGTGGGGTAGCAGCAGTTGCTGGTCAGGACTCTGTAATCTAGATAGAAAGTGAGCAACTTAAAATGGTCAAAATTTGTGAATGTGGTGGAAGGGGAAGTGGTGTGCCACTACTCAGTCTCGGGGTGGAGACGGGCCATACCAGACTTCATAGGGAGGGGAGTTGAAGCAAACTAAAAAGAAAGGACACTCACCAAATAAAACATAGAATTAGCAGACACCCTAATGATATTGATGGTACCAACTGAAAGAAGTTACAAGTTCGAACTGTCTGTTTCGAAAGTCACGTGACTTTTCAAAGTCAGTCGGCACTTTCCAGATATACACAATGTCTCAATAACGCGTCGATCTTTGCTTATCTGTTATATACCAACACCATTAATTGTACTCTTACGCTACTATTTATTATCCTCAATGCCTTCAATGTCTACCATCAACATGTTCGAGGACAACATACTCATTGAGATCGATGGTGTTGCCTCTATGTGGGATACCTATTGTCTTGGCCTAAATATAGTCACTCCTGGCTCCAAGGTATGCAATAATCGTTTTATTTACAAGTACTACTAAACCCATCGTGATTTTGTCTATTTAGCGAGTGATTTTCCGGTTCAAAGATATCGGAAAGGCCATTCGAGAGGGCTCATCTGACTCCGGCCATATGTGAGTTGATTTGTTCAATACAGTGTGCCAATTATTCACTTTGAAGCCTGCACTAATGAGGTGTCGAGCACACTCAAGGCTGACAACGTCAAGACAGAACCTGACTTAGTCGAGACTTGTGTAAAGTTCGAGGAGGATGACAAGGATTCTATAAATTCTGTGTATGCAACCTTCCGTCTAATTACTATGCTTGGATTCTGACTAACAGATTTTCAAAGGAATGTGTCTCCATGCAACCTACTCTCTCGACGCTGTGGTAATCCAAATGCAAGACCAACTGACCCATTTGCACCGTGGCGCTACTCAGTACGGCCATTTGATTGGTCAAACATTCCATCGGAGGCTGCTAAAAGGAAGGCACTGCATCAAGACATCAAGGACTATGCATGCAAGTGTCGTAAATTATGATCTGTCCACTATTGCTTCAAATTGTTCGCTCATTTTCCTGTAGTCACTCATACCTTTTGCAGTCATTTGTATCAACCACCGTTTGCTATCACCTGCTCTCGTACTACAGATACCTTTCATGTTGCTCACAGTACCTCTTTCTTCTTGCACTGTACCACTATTTTACAATGCTCTTTTGCTGATTATCATATGTCATGTACTGCTCAATTCAAAGTGTATCTGCTTGTCACGGTTGTCTGATGATCTTGAAACTCTGGCCATCAATATTTTTAAATTCCGATATCTGTGAACAACTGCCTGATTTTCCCCTGAGCCCTTTACCTCACCCTACCATGTCTTCATCAGACTCTGACACATCATCGTCAGCCTACAACTCCAATAAACGCGCGTCTTCATCAAACTCTGACGTGACATTATCAACTTCCAACTCCAAGAAGCGTACATCTTCATCAAGCTCTAACGCGTCGAAAAAACGTGTCTCAACTGATGATATCCTCGATAATCTTACTATCACTGGCAGGCAGAAGAAAATAAAGTGAGTTTTACATTCGTAGGCTGACCCCTATCAGGCAACTCACATAACTCAAGGTTGAGCGACGTGTTATCGGAATATCGCATGGCCGGGCGCAAAGTGGTCCTTACATTAAATCCATTTGCCAGCGTGTCACTTGCATTTCATTATGGGATGATGCTTGACAAGGGAGGTGTCTCCAATTCAAACATGTAAGTCGGTAATCACATCTCATAGTATCAACCTGATCTGCTCGCAGGATCTGATGAGCAACAAACTCGTTACCGTACATTTTACAATGGTATTCTGGATATGATTCCCGGTTTCCGTGCAACTCTTGATGAGTTGTCGTATGACGAACTTAAACCATATATCACAGCGGTACGTTCTGCATATATGCGCATATATTCATTGATTGGCACCAAACTAATGACTACAAATAACCAGATTAACAGTGCCATGAGCTCACAACGATCCGACGACTTCGCATCCCTCAAACATCCGATGCTCGAATATATTTTGATGAACCGTAACAGTGATACCCTGCAGCCTCCCATACCAAAGTCATCCTGTAAGTCCAACCGAGGCACCAATCATCCACGATTGGCGCATGAGCTTTGCCCTCGGAAGTGGCTGGACAAATTTGATATCGATGTCGACTTGTAAGTTCTTGTATTTATTTCAAGTTCTGGTCACTGACCGTTATATACTCAGAGGAATTCAGTGTCTTCAAGATGGGACTTGGCCTTTACTCTCAACTAATTGGCCGTCATTCCTATATGCAGCTGATGCCATCTACGACAGCGAGGACCCGAACATTGGCCTCTTTCGTGGGCATGCTGGTATCAGGGTATGTAGTGTATTGTCACCTTTCATGTGCTCACAATTATCCTAGGCATTCCAGCACTTGTACCTAGGTCCTGCTGCTGCAGGATCAGAGGAACATAATGATGATGACAGCAAGCACGGTAGAAGCAAGTCCAAGGCTACCATGTATGGGCTTACAAAGGTGACGCCACAAGCATGGGCTTGGGCCATGTGTGCAGTGTGTGTCTGCTTTTATGTTTGACTAGTGTACTGATTTTCGTACAGGCGTGGTTTTCGCTCTCGGCCTGCAACTCGTACAAAGTGTGCATCGGGTCATTCAACCTAGAAGATTTCTTTTTCACTATCCTCAAAACTCTTGATGATCCCGAGGACCCATGGGTAGTAGAGACAATGGCATGGATTAACGAGTATGTGTCTAGGCTAATCTCAATGTCTACTAACACAGATTACAGACAGGTTTTTGGGAAACATGCAGCCAAGGCCATGACGGCTGCCGCAGATGACACTGATTCTGACCTTGTGAAAATGCGAGCGAAACATGCTGCTTGTAAACAAGGTAACACTTCGACATCAGCAACAAACAATGTTGTGCACAGTACCACTACTTCTCCACCCTCAGTATCAGCAGCAGAACACCCATCATCACCTGCACCACCACTATCTCCACCCAGACTCCCTCCGCAGGTTACACCTTCCACGTCATCACCACCACGTGCCTTGACACCACTATCTGACTCAGAATCATTCCCACCCTCCCCGGCAAAACAGCCACCTGCTATACCCACAGCCATTCTTCCCAAGCCAGTGCCTGTTGCACACAAAAAGGCCAAGCCTGTCCCCAGACCAAAGGCCAAACCAGCACCCAAGCCACGATCCAACACTCGTGGTTCTGTGTGTCTCTCTGCTGGTGCTATTCAGGTTGAAGAACCCACTAACGAGGTGGGTGATACTGGTATTCTGGATGTGAATGCTCCCGTGCCTCCAAAGAAAAAGCCTGTGCCCCGTCGTGGTAAAAAGGCTGCCTAGGTATTTTGAATCCTGGTTGGTTTGTGTATTCTGACTCTTGCTTTAATCACACAGGTTTGAATGTGGTCGCTTGTTGCATTCCACTTGGTCATCTCGTGCCCATCATGCTGTACATTATACTCGCACTCACGACTGCTCCCACACTTACAATATTTCGTTTCTCGCACCATCATTTTTGCTCTCATTGGATCCTTGCTCCTGCTTTTGGACGGCGTTGGACTCGCATAGACACCTGTGTAGTTTTACTACTTGCACTGCTTTGTATTGTATGATCATGAAATTCACTGGATTCCGTTTATTGCATTGCAGTGTGCTATCTGTCTGGTACGAGTCATGTAAGCTATGAACAGCCTGCTTGGAACTGGCAAGGCTGGATCAACATTGCAAGGCATCTCAAGACTTTTAAAATACACGATTCTGATGGCTTTTGACCAGCCTGGTGCCCATCTGGCATGATGGAGAGGTTGTCTGCAAGCCGTGTTCAGTCTTGGCGAAGTTCGTCAGACTGGGGGTATCTTGCCATGCCTGAGAAGGTCTTACCGGGCTGCGCCACTTTTGCTGATGGAAGCGATAGAACCGGGCTTTGAAATTTGATCCTGTGCCTTACATAATATTATAGTTACGTTCGTTACGGTAAACACCACCACCACCACAGGCCCAATACGAGTTAGGAATGATTGTGATATGCACTGGTGGTCACAACATCTGAAAATGTAAAGTTATCAGTGCCATCATTGTTGATACCAACAATCAAAATCGGACCTGCTAAGAGCCGACCTAAAGAAGTGTTAAAGAAATTAGCTAGCATCCAGCGTCTCTCTTTGAGTTCCGTATTTCATAAATCCATTCACTGGGAATATATATTTTCGCAGGACAGAGATAAATAACTGCAGGAATTCTAGTCCGTAAAACAGCGAAGACGAGCGGCTCAGATAATTTCACAAATAGTACTGCCACACACTACTTTGTATCACACCGATCCGGGGTCTGATGCTGATGAATGTTCCTGATGCGGCACAGGTTCTTACTAGAAGACACCATGAATTTGGCTCAGATTTAGACACAAAAGGTGGCGCACATTGATTAAGCTGTTGATAATCTGTGCACTAGTTCACGCATTATGTGCTATTGCTGAAGACTCGTTTGATAATATAGTACTACTGCATGGTCGACATGATAAAAATACCCGAAGCGCTAAGATTGGATGCTATCTCTCGCTGGTGACAGAAAGAATGTACTTTGCCAGTCATTTGAAAATATGAAACTCTCGCTGAACCACGATATAAACATGTCAATGACCACATGTGACCCACTGACATTTGATGCCAGCATGGCCGTCGTCGTAAACTTTAATTCGTTGTACAGAAGGTCGATTGTGAAGCGGATCATCCTGGTGAAGATCACATTAATCAATTTCCCCGGTGATTTATCTGCCCCCAGCAGCCACATAAGAAACTGTGAACGGTGGCGAAGGTTCTCACTCCAAAAAATGGGCCTAAGAAGACTACTTAGCGTGGCATAATGTACGCAATAGCTTATTCAAAACCGTATCTCTGGTTCTGACGTGCCAGAAGGATCGATCGAGGCGATCACCGGAACTGGTGATGAAGACAATCGAGAGATAGGAAGCAATGATTCCAATCGACTGTGACTGGCCAATGTTCATGTTTAGCACTGCGAGGTAACCGAGTTCTGCGGCTAAACATGACGGTTGACTGAGAACGGCAATCGAATTGTGTCGAACGAAGGATAACTAATGGTGTGCTATGAAATGTATATAAAGTAACCGCGGGAAGGAATGAATGTTTGTAAAACAGAATATCAGAGAAAAGGGAGTGCTCAAAAGAGTGTAGATCCAGAGTGTGGACGAGTTCGAGTTCGTGATCGAGAGAATGAAGTAGGGGCAGGCAAATAAGGCTGCGCTCAGCTGGACGGGTGGTGCCGGAGACATCCGCAGACGAGTCCGTTTCCGGCACCGTGTTAGTTATGGTAGATCTATAGAAGGAGCGCCACCACTCAATGCCCAATCGGAGGAGTGATCGATAGTTACTGGAAAACCTGCCAGTACCCTTGCCGAACCTCTAGCACCGAATCTTCAAGCATCGACATCTTCCTGAGGTTTTTCGCCACTCTCGGTGCGAAGAATATGGATCCATAGGTTTGAAAAATGGTGGTAGAATGGTGAACCCAGAATCGACACCAAATGACAAGTGGCAAGGAAAGTGAATGTTATGCTCAGATAAATTCGGACAGTTTCGGAGTGAGATGCGAACCCCGTGAGCACGATGGCTGATGAGGAACTGTGTAAGTCGTGATTACGCATTACGAGGTGAACTGCTCACCTATGAGCAAAAGCACCACTGATATGGTAAAGATGATGATTGGTACTACCAAACCCAGGAGGTGCCAGAATATTCTCCAGCGCCTCTCGATTATGATCTTGTGGTGAAGTCAATTTTGACCTGCTACCTAACAATGGACAATACGTACTTTTGCAGCACTACGTTGTTGAAAAATGATTCCGGAGGCAGATACCTTCAACTGGAACAATAGCCCAAACAACGAAAAGATAAGCGACTCTGCCAAACAAGCGTAAGATGCATTAGATATATAGTTGACATCTTTTGCAAGTGGCGGATTTGAGGAGATAAAGACCGCCGCAGTGGCAAGCACGAGTCCTTGCTGCGCAAGAACACATCAATATGATCAATTTGAATGAATGACGCCCATCATCGACTTACCACTGTGCTCACTTGATTGAGCTGGGTCAGATATCGACTATGCAGCTCTTCCCAGGCGTTTCCTTCTTTCAAGAGGTCGTGTAACCAGTGCAGATCGCTGCGCCAGGTGAATATGAAGCAGCATATTTGGAAGATATGCCGAGAAATAAAGGGTTTTGGAGCATTCCACTTGGGCGGAAATTCGTCGAAAAAATCATCTGGGGGTGTGTTCGGTTGTGATGACTGTGCTGAGTACCCATTGGCAACTCGAGTACTCTGACTTGGGCTGGACATGAGTAGCGGTAAGGTGGCAGACGACATACCTGAGACTCGAACGATTACGAGGATATATAGGCAATGGAAAGGGTTTATGCTTGTAAGCACATGGAAGTATGTAATTAATCTGTACCGGCATTTACATAAAGTGGCGTCAATTGGGGTTAGCAGAAACGCTAGCGCCATTTTCCTGGAAAGAACTCGCGTGCTGAACTGAACATAGAATATGAATTTGATCGAGATTCTAATTGATATACAGGAGTGAAGGGAATGGAAGAAATATACACTGGAAAAGCATGCTGATGGCATGTACATTCAGAGGCAGTGATGAGATTATCAAGGAAAGCACGTATCGTAAAAGAGGGGGAATGAAGCGAATAGAACTTCGTCTTGTTCGTCACGGCAAACACCCTAATACGAGTTAGGAATGATTGTGATATGCCCTGGTGATTACAATATATCTGAAAATACAAAGTTATCAGTGCCATCATTGATGATACGAACAATCAAAGTCGGACCTGCTAAGAGCCAACCTCAAGATGACCTATGCAAAAGTGAGTTGGAATTCCCACGTAGGAGTGAATACGACGCAGAGAAGTGGGCCTCGGATCCAAAGATCGTAGGAACCGCAAGGCGACACATCAAGGTGAGGCTAGATAAGACAGTTAGTAACAAAAGTAGTAAGAAGGCATCCACGTCAAGGCAGGGATCGATGCTGGTGCGAGCACCCACGTGAACACAGGCATCTGCGTCAATGCAGGCATCCGCGTTCACGAAAGTGCGGGAATCCGCATGCGCACAGCAGCAGGTGTTGGCAAGGACAACACTCGCTCGCCACTGGCAGAAAGTGTCATAGTGACTAGGTGAATGATTCCTCCCCCTATTAGGTTCTCAGGTGACGAAAGTTCACAACGGTCAACTTCCTACTCGAGTGGCTTGAGAGAGCAGGGCCATGGCACCTTCGAGCGTTCTCCACTCATGGCTGGCTTCCCCACCGAACTTGCCTTCATTGCATGCAGATGCACGCAATGATCTAAGCCATCAGAACTCACCGAAGTTTGTAACAGAAAAGAAAATTCGAAAGGCGGAAGGCTGCAGACGGAGCGCCGGAGCTTGCTGTATAGCCTGAGCGCTGTGTGGTAAGTGGAGAAGAGAAGCCACATGCTGCACAGCCGCAGCACGAAGCCCTTGTTCTAATCATACGTTCCTACATCACCTCGAGGTAGAATTCCAACAGTTGAGGAAGTCAAGATACTCAGCATGGTAACTTTTCTAACCCTTCGAGTCGTCTACTTACTTTCTTCCAGAGTTCGACTCTACCATGATAACATAGCAAAGGGTAAGTCACAACGGTAACTGCGGATGAGGTGGCATGCTATCCTCACATAGGGTTTCGTCGGGTTGTTGTGATTCGAAAATTTGCATAAGAAACGAGCTCTCGCTGTATGTGATTTCTCTGGACATCTGTCAGAGGAGGGTCAGTCAAAGGCCTGGAGTCGAGGTTGGTTACACTCTGCGAGCCTGCAAGATAGTGCTGAAGCTGCATTGCATATATACATACACCATCATGCCCAACATGTTCACAACAACGCCAAGCATACATTTAACGTACCTTGGTACACAAAATATCTTCGTTTGGGATCGGGATCTCACCCATCACTGAGATAAAGAAGATTTCTGTAGGGGACCATTGCAAGAATGAAGCATGTTCACGAGGTAGCTACATGTCATTGAGACCGCGGAAGACGACAGGTCATTAGGCAAAATAATTAGAAAGTCTTTGTCGAACGTTGTACTGTAATATTCGAGACCAACGCTCACAGTAATTTGTGTAGAAAACCCCGCATACAACATCCAGCAAGGCTGTGCAACATCGGTGCAATGACGCATACGGTGGGTGGTATATCCGATGTGCCAGGTACATTAGTCCGATTCGATCACAATGTCACCGACGAGTCAGGACGCAGAACCTACAGCAAATTTTACAGCCATCGATGTACAAACATGTTGCGGAGTTCATCTCGAAGCCGAATAGGCAAGGAATTCCTGTAGGAATGATTGGTTGCGAGTCGAAGCCAAGTGGAAGCGCCGAGGGTAACAAGGACGCACTATGGCCGATGTATGACGAGTGATTGTCATCGATATAATACAAATGCCTAAGGAAATTGCCCTATTAGGATATGAATGAAAACGGGTCAGTGAGGAGGTGTCTGGTTGCATAATCGACTTGGATACTACCAGACGCATTTTATTTCGAGTATGTAGCCTCTGAAATTTTGACGAGAATCAAGCTGCTCGGAGGAGGCAGTGTTGTGACGCGAATGCTGCGAGTCAGTGAGAGTGTGTACTGAAGAAGCTGTCAAACAGCGGACAAGCGCGTATATAAGTTGGGTCATGGGAAGAAAGTTGAAGAAACCAACATACAGAGTTCTTCCACGTAACAGTCCATGGGTAGTGCTACTAGTACGGTACTAAGATCAAATTCGCAACTAGCCTATAAAACATTTTTTTCGCGATTCTGATTTCGGGTGTAGCTTTTTATAATTGATGTATGTACCTTGTTCTTGTCAATATTCGGGAGACTCGGACAAAGTACTTCGGAGCGGTGACAGGGTACTTACAACTCCGAGTACAGCCGCTAGCGCTTGAGAGAGAAACAAGCGTTCATGTTGGAATACAAACGTTCAAACGTTCATATGCATACTAGATGCGTCGCGGATCCCATGGCATCACGAACATGATAGCGTAGAAACGACGACGGCTATAAGGATGTATCATGTACAGTGTCCGAGTAATTTCTTTCCCACGAACGACTTAGACAACGCAGACCAAGTCAGTCCAAACGTGCCTTAACCCTCCTGCCAAGTCAAATCTGTCCCGATCGCATAGGCAAAGTCACGCTGCGGTTGACAGCAGGATGGCTTCGGTCATCGTGGCCGACGGTAGCTCCCATGGCTACTTGAGCATCTTCTAGAACGAAGACTTTGATGACGGCACTGGCCAGAAAAATGAACGTCTTCTTCCTCGACCGCGTCCACCGTGTGATACTGTCTTGAACTGCATAGAGGAATTAAGCCAGCTTCCTCATAAGCAGGGTCATTGAGCGATGCGACCCATGCCATGAACAACCTCATTCAGGTACTTGAAAGGCTTGGCGTAGCGCCATGTCACTGCCATTCTCCTGAGTCATTGTGCATGTCCTTGTGAAAATGATAGTGGTGCATGAAGTTGGGACTGTGGCAGCCTGAGAATAGTCGTTATCCCCTGCCCAGCGAGTCGCCGTGACCATCATGATGTCGCTTATCCTCGAGAAGCTGCCGCAGCGTCGATAGACCGTGATGCATGTCGAAGCTGCTCGATAAAATAATAATATCACACGCACACCTGTAGCTACCCGCCCTTGACCACATGCTCGTTGAGCGATATCCCAGCGGCCATACGTTACAGGATCCTTTACCAACTCGGTGCCAAGTGGAAATTGTTTTGGCTCTACTTGTCAGCCGAAAAAGGACGCATTTGTCCATGAACAGAAGCCGAGAAACTAAATAAAAGTGAGTACATCTTCGCTTATTTACATAAATAAACTTATCCTTACGCGCGGGTATAATGTGATAACGATATCTGGGCTAGCCGTAAGAAAGCATGGGTGGAGGCGAGGAACGGACCTGCCGCTCAGTTCTCACAACTTGTATTCCCTCATCCTGCGGCGTTTACTTGCTACCTTGGCATCTCAAGTACTGTGTTGAGGCCGTCGTGAGCAGCGACAACCACCGGTGGACTGTCAACTAGTGCAATGGAGCCAGAACGGTCTAGTTCCTCCAGCGGCGAAAAGGAGCACCTGGATAACTCCACAAACAACTCTGTTTGGCATGAAACGACCTTCTTCGATTCACAACGTGAAGATCGCATGGTCGGTCCACGCGATACCGCCAACCAGCAAACAGTTCAGTACGTTGACCGCGATGAAGCACGACATCAGGAACTCGCCCAGGACATGCAATCCTCCCAAACACCCAGCTCGTCCAACTTCGAAATGCCCCTCCTCCCTCCAGATTCACCTCAGTCCAGACAGACGCCCACACGCTCCTTATCCCATAATGCCAACCTGAACTACATATCCTCTCCCTTGAACCCCAATTTCTCCACTTCGTCTCCTCAAGCCAATCCGCGCTATCGGTCGCAGTCTCGCCAAAGCATGCAATTCAACCGCGTGGCTTCAGAGGACTCCCAAGTCCTCGCTGCATCCAACATAGCCTCCCTTCCTTCTGGTCAGCGTGGTTCAATGATATTATATCGTATAGCCGCAGAAGACAACAGTGGTCCATTGACCGGACCGAAGTCATTTCCTCAGCGCGATTCGGTCCTCACTACCTCGGCAGATTCCACTTTCTCACTTTCATACGATAGCAAGTACCCTTCTGGTGCTCGGAATCCACGTGGTGTTCTCGTACCCTACGTCTATGACCCAGCCCTTGACGAGCCAGATCAGGATGGTTCCCTTGATTCTAATGACGATGCGTTTAGCAGCACTGTCTTTCCCCTCAGAGGTATCCTCAATGTTGGGGTACTCTCCCTCCTCATTTTGGCCCTCCTATGTCTCTTTATCCTCTACCCCGTTATCAGTTATTATCGCGATAGCCCCCAGAGAGATTTTATTACAGGCAACGTACTCGTCAATGGAACCGGCCAGGTTTCGTTTCTGTGCGTCACACCACTTCACTATTTTTCTACTGTTCTATTTTCTTTCGTATGATATGGACTACCTGACTGATGTTATTCCTGCCCAGATTTCAAATGGCACAGCTCATCGATCCTGATACGCCCAGTAGTGCTGCAACGCGGACAGGATTTGACGGCCTCCCTTACGAACTGGTCTTCTCGGACGAGTTTAATACAGACAACCGCACTTTTTGGCCTGGGGATGATCCTTTTTGGGAAGCCGTAAACATCTGGTACGGGAGTACTGGTGATCAGGAATGGTATGACCCCGGCCAGATAACAACAAGGGATGGGTACCTCAGCATCGTCATGGACCAGATCCCTGAGAATGACTTGCCTTATCGGAGTGGTATGCTCCAGAGTTGGAACAAGTTTTGTTTTACGGGCGGCTATATTGAAGTGTCGATCAGTTTGCCGGGGCCGAACCAGGAGACACAGGGTTATGTGAGTGGCTGTGGCGTTAAGCATGCCTTTCAACAGGAGTGGTTCGGGATGTGTAGTACTAATTAATGGACTGATCCAGTGGCCGGGTGCATGGACGATGGGTAATCTTGCGCGTCCGGGATACGGTGCGACTACAGACGGCGTTTGGCCTTACTCGTGAGTTCAATTGTTTGAACACCGATTCAGGTACTTACCCTACTTCAGCTATGACTCTTGTGATGTTGGCACTTTCCCAAACCAGACAGAGCCGGATGGTTCTGGGCCTGCTGCTGCTCTCCAGTCAGATGCCTCGAAGGCCAAGTACAATTACGAACTATCATGGTTGCCCGGACAACGCCTCTCGTAAGTCATACCTGACTTCTCCAACGTTTGTTTTTGTATTTGCTCCTCCTTGCTGGCGCACATACCCACTATTCACGCTCAACATTGGACACGCACACCACTAATACTCTATCCAGGTCATGCACCTGCCCAGGAGAAGATCATCCCGGGCCATCCGTAAATGTTGGCCGTGGTGCCCCTGAAATCGATATTCTCGAGGTCGAGCATAATAAAGTTGGCTCGGGACAGGTTGTCTCGCAGTCCGGCCAGTTTGCACCCTTCTCGCACGATTACACCTATCTCAATGCCACCCAGGATGAGTGGTTCATCAACACACCTGGTATCACAAATGCGAATCCTTATCTCGGGAGTGCAGTGTGAGTGGCATTTGCATTGTGATATGTGGTTTCGACATCACATGGCTGTTGTTTACTTTGGGACTAACATCTCTTCTGCCGCCAGCCAACAAGCAGTATCTGCCTTAACGCTTCTTCCCGATGATATATTCCAAGAATCTGGCGCGCAGTTCACGACTTTTGGTAAGCGATTTTGCGAACCCAACCTCCCAGTTGCCTGACATTTTTAAGGCTTCGAGTATTGGTCGGATCCCTCAAATCCTTCAGATGGGTATATCACATGGCAGACCGCCGGCGTCGAGTCCGCGCGTGTTGGCGCCGCAGCACTTGGTCCCGATCCGTTGCCAGAAGGCACAGGCGTGTCGCAGCGACTGATCTCCGTAGAACCAATGGTCTGTCTTCGTCTTTTCCCGTGTCATTCCGCCTGACGCATCCATTCTACTAGTCCATTGTCCTTAACTTGGGTATCTCACGTGTGTTCAGTTTTCTTCCTCGCAGAAATACTTACTTACGTACGTTCTTTACAGCGGGTTGGCAGACGATCGACACAAGCACCATGATCTTCCCTGCTGAGATGCTTGTTGACTACATTCGTGTGTATCAACGGCGAGGGCAGACGAATATTGGGTGCAGCCCCGCAGATTTCCCTACGGATGACTATATCAACCGACATATGGATTCGTATATGAGTTCGTAAAACTCACCGACTTTTCGAAGATGGTACTGATGGATACCACCACCAGATCCCAACCTCACGTCATGGAATTATCCAAAACCGCAAAACAGCTTGGTGCGTCGTCCTTGAGTTTTGACTGATATGGTGGTTCACATCCTTTATAGTATTCTGGCGGGTGCTAAGCTAGCTCGAGCTGTTTTCCGATCCATTCCCCTGATCCAGCAGGACTTATACTAAGCTAACGTTATCTCGTCATGCAACTATTACTAACCGGGACTATTTCACGGCTCATATCTTATCCATTCCATTACTTAAACGAGCACAACCGTACGCTTACTCACACAACTAGACACTCGCTTGCATAGAACATTGGACATACTGGGCGTTGCACATACACACATCTACATCCTATCAGACGGTTGTTGTCAACTGATGCCATGATGGTGCGATTTGGGCATGGGCGGCTAACCGCATCCACCAGGGTCAGCGTGTTTAGCAGTAGCGGAAGAATCTCGTATCATTATACGGCAAACGAGCCTAGCTAGTTCAGAAGTGTTCAGAAGTGCGAATGACCGGAAACATTATGTTTAACCTAAAGTGTGACGTGCGTATGTCCAAAGCACTCTGAAAGACACAGATTATTGCAATCCCCCCTGTGTGTTTTCTCGGACTCTTACGTAATCTTACTTTACCTCAGCAGTTCTCTCCTGAACGTTAACGCATTAACTCTGAGCCCTTTTAGCTTCGTCTACAATACAGATGTCTGAATCGCTCTGCCTTAACTGCTTCACCTTGGGTGATGATCCTCGTCCTAATAATATTTTCCCAGTCCACATTGCGCAGACGCAGAATGTTGGTGACCTCAAAGAGGTCATCAAAGACAAGAAGAAGCCAGAATTTGACCATATTGCCGCTCACCGTCTCGAGCTATGGCAGGTGAGTGATCTGATGCCTATGATTGGATGTCGATCATCTGATATTTTGGAAGGTCGACCTGCCTGTCGACGAGACGATCAAGGACAAACTCAACAATCTTACACTGGACCCAACGAAATCCCTATCACCTGTGGATGAAATCGTTGAGATTTTTCCCGATGCTCCTCCGTGCAAGTATCTGCATCTTATTATCCAATGCCCGCCTGCCAGTGATTTGTCTCTCGATATTGCCACCCTTTCCTCCTTACTGATTGCGGTCTGACCTAGTGTCTTCTGGACCACTCCACCTCAAATGCTTTATGATGGGTGATGATCCTTGCCATGTATTTGAGATCGAGATTGCACCAACAGAAAGTGTCAGCGGCCTCCAAAAGGTTATCAAGGGCGCGAAGATGTGACATTTTCACCGTGTTAACGCGGACGATCTGAAGCTATGGAAGGTAAGTGATCTGACACCTATGATTGGATGTTGACGATCTGATCATTTGCAGGCTATCCTGTCATTCTAATGCAGTATAGCATGGTAAGTATCAACATAGTGCGATGCAGGTGCGATGCTAAGCATAGGTTGCATTACTTCTCACCCAAACCGGTACTGTAATGCATTAGCCTAAAATCACCGGTACTGTAATGCATTAGCCTTAAAATCGCGTAAATATTGCCTAATGCGTGTAACATACTGTCGGTCTTCAAAAACTGGCTTCCTGGTCCAGGCTGGTCCGCCCTGTTCCTGGGAGCCCCCTTGTTTGTCATCCCCCACATTGTAATCCATTCTTATTCGTATCCTTTCTGGTTGATCAATTACCTTCAATTCACTTTGACTTCATGGTTCGAGACCTGGCATCCTTTTTTAGCTGCTTGACTTGACGGTACGAAGTCTATGCGCCCGGAAATTTCTGGATGGACTAATTTTTACCAAGTCCCAGTTGTGTTCAGTACTAGTACACATCAAATTTTTGAAGTCCCAGCGCTTCTACAGAATCCCTCCGAGTTTTTTTTACTTGCAAACTAAAACATATGTATTTCATTGTTTAAGAGACACTCATATGTATCAATCCAATGTATTCAATGTAGTCAAGATTATCAGATTCACCATGAGATGTTGCAACTAAAGTAAACAAACTTGAACAAGGGGACTACATGGCAATCAAAGCCAGATACACTAGTAGTACAGTACTAACAAGCCATCACGCCATACTTACCCTCGCTTGGGTCTCCTGGAATAAAAAGATGTGAACAAATTGAATACAATGAAGATAGTATAACGTACTTGTTTGAGCCTAGATCGTCGCCATGGCCTCATTTCTGTTTGGCGCTGGCGTTAGATCCAATGGCATTATCGAGCTCACGCCTGTTGAAGGTAACATTGCGTGCATGGTGTTGACGAGGTTCTTCTTGAAGCACTTGCTGTTGTACTGCAGGTGCCCTTGCACGTCGACGATGGTTAGGAGGGGAAGAAGGTACAGGTACATCTAGATCTTTGTGGATGGGCTCGACAGGAACTGCAGGCAGACAAATTTGTGGGGTCTGTGGGGGAGTTGGTGGAGGGGGTAATACCAATGGCAGCTTGGAGATTGCAGAGCTCGGAGTGAATAATGGCAGCTCGGTGAATGTAGAGCTTGGGGTGAATGAATCCAAGGGATGCGTTTGGATCTCCATGTCGCTGTTGAGAACAATCGAAGAACCTGGGATGAAAGGGCCCAGGGAAGGCACCTGAACTTGAGTATCACTGCCAGCTATCAAAGCTTGCACGCTGGGGTCCAGGTCTGTCTGACCAAAATTGAGGTCCAGGTATTGAAAAGCCTGGTCGGGTAATGTAGACTGTTGCTGGTGCTGGCCCAGTGATGTGTCATATCAGTAATAATGCATTACAGAATGCACGACTCACCTCATGCAACAAGAAACCCTGGCCTGCATTATCGAATAATGCAGAATGCTGAGTGTGTGGTAAGAACCATCATTAATGCATTATGAAGACGAGTAAGGCATCACTTACCTCTTGTGACTCATTGTTGAACAAATCAGGTGAGATCCTATATAGACTGTTGTCCGTGTGAAAGTTCAAATTCATGCTACCAGCTTCTGCTCTGCCTTCCATTGAATTGGTCTGGATATTGTTCATCTCGTTATCACTGTTATCGTCGCTCTCCAAGTCAGAATCGGAGTCGTTTTGAGGCAGAGTGGCTTTGAATTCTGTATAATATGGTGAGTGATGCACTTTACTGTTGAGAAGATGACCCTTACCAAGCGCCCTGTCAGTAAATTCCAAGAATGCTTGCTGGATGCTGTCGAACTTTTCGCAAAACGTGTTGAATTGAGCACCATTCCCGAGTTCGCCTATGTGATAGCTTTGATTTGTGGTATAAGTTGATGTAAGTGATTTGACATATAGCAGACATACTCATATACCGCCGTCCCACCCTTTGTGGGGTCAGGCCCAGCCATGAGGACCGAAAACTTCCAGCTGCCGGTTGCATAAGACAGGTAGCGGAATATACGGTCTAACATTGGACCTAGCTCCCGGATGGCCCTGACCAATGGTTAGCACCTTTAAATCAAGGCTGATCAAGAGGTACGTACTTGACTTTCACATTTGTATCAATCTTTGGCATCTTACCACCCTTCAAGCGCTCACGAGCTTTGGCGAACTTTGCTTTCGCCTTTCTATACTTCCTCTCAACCTCTTCCTTCACCTTGTCACTTTCTGCCTCGAACTTTTCTTGAGTGACAGCGAGGCGCTTGTTCAACTTGGCACCATGGTGAGCGATGTTGTTTTCATGAATAGCTTGGTCTGCATCGATCCTAACTTTCTCCGCATAATACTCATGTGAATAGATATGCATCTTCTTGGGTGCACGTGTACCACTCAGTCCTACCCCACCTGCCAACACCGCATCAAATTTGAGCAGCCCCTTTGCCCCACTGGTACGGCTCAAACACGACACATTAGTCTGCCACCGGTACCAACTTGTGATTTGCTGCGATGGGTTTAATTCATGTTTGATGTGTATTGTATAATACGCTTACCTTTTGTCATTTACTGACCGCCGCTTTTAAGAGGCTTTCTTGTTCTTCTGTCAGTCCTTGATCAGCTGGCACCTGCGCAAGGATGATACTGTGCTCTGGCCAATGCTCGAAGAACTCCCGCCAGACTTTTTTCAGTACCGGTTTGTAATTTTTATTGAACATGCATTCACAGTACTCAGGAAGGAACCTCTCCAGAAATTCTATCTGTTCTTTTGTCGCCCACCTGCCCATCTAATCACTGGTGAGTCATCCAGATGCATTGTGACTTAGTAGTGCCAGCACTTACATTCGATAATTGGAGCTAACAGCAGGTAACAGAAGTTATGGTGCATGCGAGGGCCAAGGTTTCACGACGTTCACCGTTGAAGGTACAACAATTCAGATGGTGAGTCTGAACAATGTGTTGGGTCTTGCAGAACCTAGCTGCTATTCGACCCTAAAGGGTTTCTGGACCAGGCTCAAGGCTCAGAGTAGAGGAAATATCATAAAAACTTGCTGATCTCTCAGACTCATAGTAAAACTGGTGAAAAGATTGCTTGCTTATGTAAGCTACAAAAGTGCCAACATAAGGTAAGGTAAAAACAGTCTCTACAAGCCCAGCCAGAAATGAATCCCTACACCGTGCTGTGCCACGCTCTAGTCTTTTCACTCTAGTTTCTTCTACTGTAGGCACAAAATTTAATTTGTTCTTTGCACGATCTGCAGGTTGCCAATGTTACAAGAAGTATTCTATCGTGATTGTGCAAACACTATTCTAAGGAGCATCAACCGCGGTCTGCCACCGGTACCAACTGATGATTTGCTGCGATGGGTGAGGTTTAATTCGTGTTTGATACGTATTGTATAACACGCTTACCTTTCGTCGTTTGATGACCGCCGCTTTTAAGAGGCTTTCTTGTTCTTCTGTCAGTCCTTGATCAGCTGGCACCTGCACAAGGATGATACTGCGCTCTGGCCAACGCTCGAAGAACTCCCGCCAGACTTTTTCAGTACCAGTCCGTAATTCCTGTTGAACATGCATTCACAGTACTCAGGGAGGAATCTCTCCAGAAATTCTATCTGTTCTTTTGTCGCCCACATGCCTATCTAATCACTGGTGAGTCTAAATGCATTGTGACTTAGTAGTGCCGGCACTTACATTCAATAATCAGAGCTAACAGCAGGTAACAGAAGCTATGGTGAATGCGAGGGCCAAGGGTTTACTGTGCTGTATCACGCTCTAGTCTTTCGCTCTAGTTTCTTATATCGCATACAATTTAATTTGTTCTTTGCATGATCTGCATGTCGCCAATGTTACAAGAAGTATTCTATTGTGATTGCATAAATACTATTCTAAGAAAGATCAACCACGGGCCTTGGGACATCTGGGATACCGCCTCGACGATGAGGTGTAATATAGCTTTATATCCTGCGAGCGTGCACGAGTAAGTACGTATATGTCAATACCACAGGGAGGGACAACTAACCTTGCGACATTTTCGCACTGCAACGCCCACGGCAGTCACCTGCATTGGAGTAAGTTTATGGAATGGTGTATCAGGAAACAGAACTTTTTCTTCAGGCCAACGCGCAAACCAACACGAGAAGAGTGCACTGAAGAAATAAATATGTTGAGAGGGATCACATATTGCGAAGAATTCATCCGAGTGAGACAGAAGGAATTGCTCCTGGATCTGTCGGAGGGGAAGACACTTAGTTGGTAAGGGCTGTTTGTCTTGGATTCAGCAGCGATGCGTACAAGGACTGTATTACTCACTGGCAATAGACATGACTTGAAATGTGTTGGGGCATGAAGCTGCCTGACGCCTATTTATTGCAGTCTAAGCAAATGCTTCGAAGAAGTTCAGCACATTTTGAGTAATTGTGACGTGACGGTGATTTAAACAAGTATGAACATGCAACTCTCGATATTGTTGTATTTGAAGTGGCATCACAAGTATTGGAATAGTAATGATCCTCGGCTGAATTTTGTAAGCATCTCCACATCTATCTCGCTTATGGCTGCATAACACCAGAGCTCTTCGGTGACAGCAGTCACCAATTTGCATCGATAGGACAAATTGCTGAGATGCTCCGTGATTGCAGCGGAGAAACGAGACTTCCCCCCGTGGCATAACCGTACATATTCCTGAATAGACTCAAGTACTTCCAGGCGAACTGAAAGCATTGCAAGGACAATCTGTTGGTCCCTGGGGCCCTGAATCATTTGCGCGTATAGTGTGTTGAATATCGAACAGGTCAGTAGGCTTGCCTCAGTGTCATCGACATCACAACTATGAGAACACGAGGTGTTCAGTATATCACATTGCTCAGAATTGATGTGGACATACATTACAGGGCGTGAAAGTTTCGTGACATGAATGTTGGTTAAGCGGCTGAAAAGAGCATGGTTGAGTCATGGGCAAGCTGTAAAATGACAGTAATCAAGACTCACGATAACTTTGGCGGAGTTTGCATGTGTCGTCCTGAGGTGGAGGATGAGTCATGATGTGGAGGACTAGATATTTGTGTGCGTTGGAGGATTGATGCGGAATCAGCTTGATTTCTGTGACTGAAAGCTTGTTGAACATACCTGGAAATATCTATGCCGGACGCCCCACCAGAGTCCATGATTTGGCTGGCCATCTTTTTGGCTTGGTACTTGGCTGCCATTTTGACGCTGATTTCCTCTTTCTTCCTGTATACATGGGTCAGTGCCACCTGGCTCAGATATTTTAGCAATGCCAGACCTTTCATAGTACGTCCTTCTGTAAACTCGAGCTGCATTTTTCTTCTCCTCAGGTGTGTTGTAGATGAGCGGACGCACCATCGTGCACTGTATGTGATAGTAAGTGAGGGACAACTTGAATGTTCAAGTTAGTACACCGTAATGTGACACAGATGCAAAGCCAAACACCGGCGTGAGCAACTTAAGTGAATTTGCTAGCATGTTACAATCGCTCTACTTTCTTTACTTCCCACGTATCCGCCATTATGCCTTACATTCTTAGCAGCTTAGTTTTCCTTTCTTGGTCTTACTTCCGTATTCGACCTTTGTACTATTATCTCACCGTAGCCTTGGTCCGTGCGCATATAGTTTCCTATTTAAGCACGTGTACTTTACTTAGAAACGTCACTTCAATCTTACTAGGTTTTACCCTGAAAACTTCCTTCGCTTAAGACCACCAATCTTAAGACGTCTGAACCGATCTCTTAGTCAAAGCACTCCTTTGACTAAGTCTATGAACCTCTTCTTATTTGAAGAGCTATACAAGATCTCAACAACGTGAACGCTCTGTTGAGCCTTTGTTGTTAAGAACTATCCTAGTTCGTAACAAAAGATTGAAGTCCAGAAAAAGACACCTATATCCATACGTGTCAAAGAAACTTCGAAACCAGAGCAGAAAGATCCTGACTGAGCAAGACAGCTAGTGCAGGCGAAGAAAAAGGCGGCAACCTGACTTCACTCACCCCTACCTTCCAAGCCCTGAACCTTGGTACTCCTGTACCACCATTAAACATGTCGGCCTCATCCAAGACAACAGAATTCAAGATCAACCATCCTCCTACATTCGATGGCGACAGAGACAAGTCCAAGTCATTCATGCTCTCATGCAATGCTTACATTGATATCAACTCGGAAATCTATAAAACCGACACTCAGAAAGTGATCTTCATCTCCTCGTTCATGAACGAAGGAAACGCCAGGTCATGGAAAGAAGAATTCCTCGCAGATGCCCAATTCATCGACTCAACCGGACAAAAGAAGGGCTATGGAACCCTGAAAGAGTTTAACGAAAGCTTTGACAAAGCCTTCGGACCGATTGACCCATCCGGGACCGCATTAGCACGACTCCTGGAATTAAAACAAGGCCCAGAAGGCCTGCAGACGTACATTGCAGACTTCAAAAGGTTGCTTGCCCAAGCAAAGATCAAAGAAGAACATATGATGATCTATCATTTCGAGAACGGCCTCAACGGGGGGCTTCTAACCAAGATGTTCAACGCAGGAGGGGTACCCAAGAACCTTGATGACTACATCGCTGCGGTAGTCGATCTGGATAATTGCTACGCAAGATTGCTAGCTCGAAGAAACAGGTTTCCTTCCCGACAAATCCAGAAGAAGAACGGTCGCGGAGACCAAAGATATATCCCCGCCAGAGATAAGGATGCCATGGTTATTGATCGGATCACCGACGAAGCCAAGCAAGAATACATGAAGACAGGAAAATGTTTCAACTGTCACCAGATCGGACATCGGGCACGGGAATGTCCGCAGAAGAAGAAAACCCCCTACCCAGCAGTGAGGAAGGTAGAGGAAGAAGAAGAAGCTAGAAGAATTGATGAGGATTTTTAAACAGGAGACCTATATCGACGATAGCATCTCCAGCAAAACCTGTACGCCTAATACGAACAGTTGGTGAAAAGAAAGAACTTCGTGTCCCCATAACCCTCGTATCCCGAACGCGTCAGAAAAATGTCGAAACCACCGCAGTAATTGACTCCGGAGCATCGGGAACCTATATCTCCGAGGACTTCGTGAAGAAACATAACATTGGAACCAAGAAACTCGAAAACCCTTTTTACATTAAAACCGCCGATGAAAGCTACTTCAGCAGCGGACCAGTAGAACGGTACTGCACGCTGATCGTCCAAATCGACCAAAGGATGATGATAGGAAAATTCAACATTACCAAATTGGGAGACAAGGACCAGATCCTACTAGGGATCCCCTGGCTTCGAGCCATGAACCCCGCTATAAACTGGACCGAACAGACGGTATCCCTTCCAGCAACAGAAAAATCTGCTGAAATCGAGAAATATGTCAAACAAACCTCTCGACCACAGAAAACCTTCTTCACTAAAAAGTTTTACACAAAAGAAGACGCTTGGAGTACGTCACCATCATCCCTAACCGAACTTACGGACGAAGGAGAATATCTCCGACAAGTCGAAGAATCTTCCAAGTTTAGTAACAAAGCACAGGAGTTCGCCTCTGAAGAAAAAGAGAAGAAGAAAAAAACTTTTGAAGAGTTGGTACCGAAGTATCTCCATGATTTCTCTGATGTATTCGCAAAAAACGGCTTGAACGAACTACCCCCCAAAAGACCCGGTATCGACCATCGTATCGAAACGAAGCCCGGATTTATTCCCAAGACGTCCAAAATTTACCCCCTTTCCTACAACGAACGAAGCGCAGTAAAAAGATTTATCGAGGAAAACCTTGCCAAGGGGTTCATCACGAAATCTAAATCCCCTCAAGCAAGCGGATTCTTTTTCGTAGGAAAGAAAAGCGGAGAACTCAGACCATGCCAGGACTACCGCTTCTTGAATGACCAGACTATCAAAAACGCGTACCCCCTGCCACTCCCATCATCTTTGGTTGAACGGTTACATGGCGCAAAGATATTCACAAAAATTGATATTCAATCCGGATACAATAACATTCGGATTCATCCGGATGACAGGTGGAAAGCCGCGTTCATCACGGAAGAAGGACTGTTTGAACCCACGGTCATGTTCTTCGGATTATGCAATTCCCCCGCCACTTTCCAAGCGTATATGAACGATACGTTCAGAGCTGAACTCAACGAAGGATGGCTCGTCATCTACATGGACGATATGCTCATCTTCTCCGAAACAACCACCGAACACCAACAACGAACCTGCATTATTTTAGACAAACTTCGAAAAGAAAAATTATTTGTTAAACCGGAGAAATGCACGTTCGATGCGGAAGAAGTGGAATACCTTGGAATGATTATCAAACCAGGAAGTGTAGAAATGGATAAAGGGAAGACGGCAGGCATCAAGGACTGGCCCACTCCTGAAACAGTAAAAGATGTTCGATCTTTTTTGGGCTTTTGTAACTTCTACCGAACCTTCGTTTCCCACTACTCGGATATAGCTCGACCCCTTATCGACCTAACGAAGAAGGATGTCTTATTCTCTTGGACGCCCCTGTGCCAGCAAACGTTCGAGAAGCTAAAAGAATGCTTCACTTCACACCCTGTTCTTCAGAACCCTGATCCCCACCATCAATTCGCCATCGCTACGGATGCTTCTCTTGTCGCATCAGGAGGAGTATTGCTGCAGACTGACACTAATGGCGTCTATCACCCGTGTGCATACCTATCGCAGTCGTTCAGTCCTGCCGAAAGGAATTACCCCATTCATGATCGTGAGCTGTTGGCTATTATCCGCGCCCTCACCCATTGGCGACACTACCTCGAAGGACATCCACAACCGGTTATTGTGTTTACTGATCATATGAACCTCCTCTATTTCGCAAAAGCAGAACGCCTATCCAGAAGACAGGCCAGATGGCAACTACTCCTCACTTCTTTCGACTTAAAGTTATATCACGTCCCCGGTACAAAATTGGCAGTTCCGGATGCCCTTTCTCGCCGGCCGGACCACGGCGACGGATCGGGAGATAATGCTGACGCTGTCCTCCTTCCTGATTCCATGTTTATCCGCCTAATCGATGATGAACTACGAACAGCTATTGCTTCCACCGCACCCCTCAACGATCCCCTCTTCTCTGCCGCGCAAGATGCCCTTAATGGCCTATGTTTGCCTCCTATGAAATCATCGCTTAGCGACTGGCGTATCACTGATGATGTTCTGTTCTACAAAAATAGAGCTTATATCCCTCCCGCACATCGACTGCAGTTACTCCGGAAGCATCACGATCACCCTTCTGCAGGACATCCCGGACGTTTTAAAACCGAAGAACTCGTCAAGCGGGAAGCCTGGTGGCCCGGTATGGGCACTTATATCCGCAATTACGTCGATGGCTGCGCTACTTGCCAACAGATGAAGGTGGACACTCACCCTGTGACTCCACCCCTACACCCTATCAGTACTATGGCTACTCGCCCTTTTTCCCAGATCTCTGTCGATCTCATTACTGATCTCCCCGTTTCGTCTGGCTTTGATAGTGTCATGGTCGTGGTAGACCACGGACTTAGTAAGGGGGTGATCATTACTCCTTGCCACAAAACAATTACCTCGGAAGGAGTGGCGAAGTTATTTTTAAAACACGTCTTCAAAAGATTCGGTCTCCATGACAAAGTAATCTCCGATCGTGGACCACAGTTCTTATCCAGATTCTCGATCGAACTTGCACGACTCCTAGATTATTCTTTAGCCCCCTCCACTGCCTACCACCCACAAACCGACGGACAGACCGAACGATTAAACCAGGAACTCGAGACGTATCTTCGAATGTATTGCCAGAACAATCCTTCTGAATGGGTGGAACATCTCCCTATGGCAGAATTTGTTCACAATCACAGAAGACACTCCGCAAAAGATGCATCCCCTTTCTTTATCATAATGGGATATGAGCCGAAAGCTCTCCCACACTTACTCCCGGAATCGGACGTTCCCGCTGCTGAGGAACGAGTCAGAATTCTTCAAAAGATAAGAGAAGAAGCCGTCTCCTGTCATAACATTGCTATGCAACGCATGGCGGAAAGATCCTTCGGACAGAAGTACGAACCATGGAAAGTCGGAGATAAGGTATGGCTGTCCGCTGCCAATCTGAGACTAAAGCTCCCATCCCGGAAACTGGCACCCAAGAGATACGGCCCGTTCACTATCACGGCCGTACTATCCGCTATCACGTTTACGCTCCAGTTACCGCCGCAATGGAAGATCCACCCTACGTTCCACGCTTCGCAACTATCTTCCTATCGCGAAAATGACGTACACGGTCCGAACTTCCTAGAACCACCACCTGATATTCTCGAAGAAGAAGAAGAATATGAAATAGAAGCAATCCTCGCACATAAAGGAAACGGAAATCGCCGTCGATATCTCGTATCTTGGAAGGGGTATTCTTCGGCTAGCAACGAGTGGATCCCCGAAAAGAATCTGGAAAATGCCGAAGAGACCCTTAGAGCCTATAAAGCCAGAAACGCGCTTTGAGGTTACTCAGTACCTCGACGACATCGTTCTTACCCAAATACAAAACCTACAAACAGAATGCCTTTCCCCACATCCACCTACACGCTCCCATACCACTCCACCTTCGATACCGCCCCCCTTGATTCCAATGACGAGCGATACGAAACCTTCATCAACCAAGCTGAAGACCTCACCCTCCTCGAGGCAGCACTCCTCTGCCCCCAACATGCTATTGAACTCACCAGAGTTCTCTTCGAAAGAAACGCCCATTCCATTAACCTCCTCATCAACATCATCCGAGCCACTGAACTCATCGAGCGGGTCTGCCGCCTCGTCGAAGACAACACAGTTCGTCACAGCCTCATGCATATGCAGAGGCGCATACGCAACTTTGCTTTGCGTCTTATTCCTGAGGAAGTTAAGGATGATATTAGAACAGTCATCCACATTGTCGCAGAACAGACCGCAGGAGTTGCTCGCCCGCCTTCTCCTACGAACCCCGCAACCACAGATGGAGTCCCTCCTCCCTCTTATCAAGACGCCGTACCTACTCTTCCCGCTAATGTTCCTAATGAGCTATTGGCTGCGGTCAATAATCTTGCGCAGACAACGGAAGCCATAATGGCGTCCCTAAGAGAAGAAAATCCCCAAGCAATTCCCGTCCCCGCTCCCGCCGTAGAAACCATCGAACATCCCCCTCATCTTTATACTGCATTTTCTGCCACCCGCGAAGAAATCGCTGCTGACCCAAACCATCAGTACCTCTCACACTACGAAGTGCAAGATCTAGCCAACGCACTGGCTACACTCCATATTCATCCCCCGCTCGTCATCCCAAACTCATTATCTTCGCATACCTTTACGGATGGAATCGTGCCGATACAAGCGTTGGGAAGAACCCAACCTGCCACTCCCGCTGAGCTAATCGCGGAGGCAGAGCGACAAGATGTCGCCGTCCACCATCCTATACGACGAACCGCCCCATCCAGAAAGAGAGTACGAGGCCAGCGTTCCCGTACGGATAAGGGGAAGAAACGTGCCACCAGCGCCGATGAAGCACTTAGCCCTAAGCCGGGTCCATCGCCCTTACGAGCGACCTCCTCTAACCCCGATGAGAATCGCGTTTGCAGATACTGCAAAACGCTCGGGCATAGGCAAGTTCATTGTCCCGAATACTACTGCCGCGTCTGTCGAGAATTATCTCCAGGCCACCTTTCACTCTACTGCCCGCACTACACTGGGGAATCCCCCACTTCCTTAACCTGGAAGGACGATGGATTCTATCGAACCCTCGCACTCTGGGAGAATGATTTGGATGACGCGTACGCCGCTCAATGTAGGGAAGAAGAAGCGCTCTATGAGTTAGAACGCATGAAAGCCGGACCAGACGAAGGTCCAGATGCCCTCGATTACTCGGACGATCCTATCTACTACGCTAACCAGGATGATTGAATCCGGTGGCTTCAACCCTAGTAAGGGGGTAATGTTACAATCGCTCTACTTTCTTTACTTCCCACGTATCCGCCATTATGCCTTACATTCTTAGCAGCTTAGTTTTCCTTTCTTGGTCTTACTTCCGTATTCGACCTTTGTACTATTATCTCACCGTAGCCTTGGTCCGTGCGCATATAGTTTCCTATTTAAGCACGTGTACTTTACTTAGAAACGTCACTTCAATCTTACTAGGTTTTACCCTGAAAACTTCCTTCGCTTAAGACCACCAATCTTAAGACGTCTGAACCGATCTCTTAGTCAAAGCACTCCTTTGACTAAGTCTACGAACCTCTTCTTATTTGAAGAGCTATACAAGATCTCAACAACGTGAACGCTCTGTTGAGCCTTTGTTGTTAAGAACTATCCTAGTTCGTAACATAGCACTCATGTCTTCACTCGCTGTTGTGTCTTGCTGCTTCAAGTTTGTTCTTCCCATCCTTAGATATAGTTCTTAGTTTCTTAGTAATTAAACTATAGTCATTCTACTAGAATACAGCTGGTTTCAGGAAACACGCCACAGGACAAAGTATTTATAGGAGATTTTGGTTTAGAATAACTCATACAACATATAAATGAGGTCGTTCTAATAAAATACATGGTAGGACACTCCCGTCACATTCAGCAATCATAGACTTCATACATATGATACACAGCTTTAAGGTGTGTTGAGCTTGCAACACGACTTTAGCAGGATTTGGGTCAGATGATTGATTGAGGCAACGTCCTCAGACTGTCTATCTCAGAGTTCAATGTTCAATGTTCAATGTTCAATATTAATGTTCAACTGTACACGCATGATCATTATATTGATTGATGTTTCACTGCTATCAAACAACCGGTTTCAATGTCATTTCTGCCATGATATGTCAGGATTGCAGTCTATACCATGTTCTGTTATTAATTTCTGATATATGCTACAGTGTCTTGTCTACTACAAAGCGAGTGCTCGTCTACTCTCCCGGCCGCACTGTCGAACCATTATGGAAACCTTCTAGACAAGCAGGGAGAAGTTTATATTTGAAGTGTTCAGAATTTCTTATTGATTTCCTGATACGAGCATCCAGAATGTCAAAATGATTCACCAGCCGTGAGAAGTATTCATACATGGTATATATGTCTACAGATCAAGCAAGAAATGTTACTCATTTGATTACTTCGGTATCCCCGCGGTCAATTGCTTCCTCAATCAATCTAATCCCCTGAGCAACAGTGTGAACTCCGGAATAGGATGAACGGCTCACCCCGGTCACATAACTAGATGTCTGTTGCCTGTAATACTAATCAGTAGACAGTCTTGAAGTCAAAGTACCACTCACCAAGTTGCAACAACACCAATGCGACGCCCATGGTTGATCCAGTAGAAAGGACCGACAGAATTGGGCTCAGGAATGATGTATATCACCCCGAGATGAGTCCATGTGTAAGTTGCAGCAGTAACAACTGGGGGTGCGGTAACCAGTGGTGGGGTGGAAGTGATTGCAGTAGTTGCCAGTGTGGTGGCTATGAGCGGAATGGTATGAGGAGTGATGACGGATGGTGCAGTGGCCACAGGTGGAATGGTAGAAGCATGAGCTGCAATAGTGACTCCTTGAGCAGCAGTAGCCACTTCCTGAATAGCGGCAACGACTGCGTTCTGTATGACCCCCTGCAGGACAGAGGTTAATGAGGCAGCATTGTTGCTGCTGATGTTCAATTGTGTGAACAGTGCTGCTATAAGATCTAAACCAGTCATTAGAAGAGGCAGAATAACCAAGGGATTGACACACCACCACTGGAAGGACCAACAATGGATGCTGCAGGCACATGGCTATTAGTGCCGGAGGTCACTGTTGAGTGGGTCACAATGTTAGAAGAGTCAGAAAAACCAAGGGATTTACGCACTGCCATTGGACGCTGCAGGCACTTGACTATTAGAGGAGGTCATTGTTGAGTGGGTCATGATATCGAGCATTAGAAACTTGCAACTCACCTGCATTATTATATACACATAGCTACGCAAACTTGCAAGTTCCTTGCACATCAAATACATAATCTGCGGAGTATAATCTGCGGAGTATAAAACATAATTCCCTATTTTGTACAATATTCATCCAGCCGTCATGTAAGTAGACACGCAGAGCTGCTGTGTTCTTCAGCTACTCGACTATTTAGGTCATCACCCTCGAGCCGCCGAGCAGAACTTTGCTTCTGACGACCTTCTTGGCGATTCACCACTATAGTCAACAACCTCAGCAGTAACGAAGTGCAGGCTTTGTTATTCAGGCTACTCGACTATTCAGGCCATCACCCTTGAGCCGCCGAGCAGAATTTGGCTTCTGACGCCCTTCTCGGTGATTCACCACTGTATTTAACACCCCCAGCAGTGACAAGGTACATAGAGAACTATAGCTATGTTCATATTCATTGACAATGTGCCTTCCACTGCAGTATACCCTGAGATCACCGCCATTCATGAGCACACTGCTGCTTTCCTTCCTGCTGCCCAAGCAATGGCTGATGAATGTTTTCTCCATCGTTATTTGGGGGTATATTATAACATCCCAGCATGTAGCAAGCAACCCCCTTGGAACCCACCTTTCTATTGTGTCACCCGCGGCCGTGTAGTAGGTGTTTTACCCAGCTGGTGAGTACCCTAGTTGTTGGATGGAATATATATATATATATATATCTACTCTAGGGAGCACGCTCTAAATGCTGTTCTTGGCGTCCCTGATTTCAAGTACAAGGAAGTTGACACTATCGCCGTTGGTGAGGAAAAGGTTAGGCAGGCAATTGAGAAAGGCGAAATTGAAATTGTATAAGGGCATTAACACTAGTCTTATTACTTACCATCGTCCCCTTCAGCTTCGTCCTGTATATACTATGCAGAGTAGTTAACCGATCTTTCTCTATATCCAACACCATCCATTTCAATTACAATGACCATTACTCAAGATTCCTCCATACAATCCGTCAACGAGACCAGAGTCTCCCTCGAAGATATCAAGAGGAGATTTTTCAACGCGCTCAAGAATGTAATGTCATTGCAGCACTCGACACCGGCAGTGGAAAGACTTTCATCAGTATTTTTCTCATCAAATGGATCATGCTACAAGAGTGCTCACGGCAAAGTCATCGTATTTCTGGTACCCAAGGTAGCTCTGGTCAAACAACAGGCCAACTTTATCACCGCGCACACTCCTTTGAGTTCAGTATTGCTTACATAATTGCACAATGATTCATCTAGTTTATCGTTTATACCGTTCGTTTATCTCCAAATAAGCAATAACAATATACAGTCTACACGGTGACACCTTGCAGCCCCCCCCCCAACAGATGAATCCAAATATTCCTGAGGGTCCACAACCACCTCTGTCTTATCCTAGTCAAGAAATACAGGTCAGGGACCTCGGGATTCCATCCAGGCAGGCCAACAGCCATCACAAACGCACACGCTTAAATTCATATATTCCACCAGCCAGCTCTCAACCTTCTGTCTACTACATGTCTGTAACATTCTCCTCGCGGCGCGAAGGCGGAATAACAGCCTCCCGCCGGCACATTCTATGCGCATCACAATCACAATCTGATTCTCACCCTGAATCTGACAGACAAGTTTCTGAAGGCATCAGTTATGATGATGCTAATTTTGGGTACATGGATGGGCATGTAGATGCAATTGATGATGCCCTGGTCACATCGAAGCGAAAATGCACCACGGCTGTAAGTGTTGGCTGGTCATAATTTTGCTTCACTGATTTTATTTTCAGGATAACCCCCTTCTAGTGTGGTTAAGCGATCGTGATGAGTATCTGGCAGAAATGCTTCGGATGGATGGCAGAGGGGACTATACTTCGGATACTTGCTGCAAATGTGCCTCTGCTCCTGCTCTGTTCCGATGCGACGACTGTTGTGACATGCAGCTATACTGCGGAGACTGCACTGTTTGCAATCATTTGCCGAGCCCCACTCATCGCATCAAGGTTTGTCTTCATTCATTCTGAGTGCTTGAGTAGGGAGTTAATTTACTTTAGGAGTGGACAGGGTCATTTTTCATGGCTACATCACTCAAAAAGCTCGGTCTGAGGATCCAGCTGGGGCATGCGATTGGCGAAAGCTGTATCCTGCCTCGCAAGTCATTCAACAACAACTTCCTACTCATCGATACAAACGGAATCCACGAGATGGCAGTCGACTTTTGTGCCTGTGAGACATCCCAGACTCATACAAAACAACTCTTGCGCATGGGATGGTTCCCCTTGACAACTGTGGATCCAAGGACGGCAGCAACCTTCCGGCTATTGCACCATTACCATATCTTGTCTTTTGAGTCCAAGGCATCCGCCTATGAATTCTATCACTCGCTTGTCCGTATATCTGACAATGTTGGTTTAATTAAGAAGGTTGGCGTTTTGCTGGGTTGATCTTACATGGACTAAACTAACTCTAATTCAGGATCGCTATGAATCCTTCATGTGTATGGTTCGCGAGTGGCGACACCTGAAACTGTTGAAACATTTTGGTCGCGGTCACGATCCTGTCGGTGTGAGTGGTACCAAAGAGGGCGAATGCGCTGTGCTCTGTCCGGCTTGCCCACAGCCTGGCAAAAATATGCCCCCTGACTGGAAAGAGGCACCAAAATCCAAACAGTGAGCCTCTTGTCATTTTCAAACATAAAGCAACGCACTAATCATACATAGATGGCTGTATTCATTGTTCCTGGCTATCGACACCAATTTTCGATTGAAAAGACGGGATATATCCAGTGATGAAGTGGACCCAAGTCTCTCAAAGGGATGGTCATACTTTGTGGAAGAGGAGAAGTTCAAATCCCATCTCAAGGAGCATTTGTCCGAGACACAGGAGGTATGTAAACAGTCTGGTCCAAGATGTCGCTAACAGTACCTTCCCAGAAAAGTTCCTGCTCGAACCATAATGCCGTGAATATGGCTGAGACAAAGCTATCACAGGGCCTTGCAGCTACTGGAGTAGGGACAGTTGATTGCGCACGACATAACTTCAAGCGCCCGAATGGCGTTGGGGACCTACAAAAAGGGGAAAAGTGCGTGTGTCACTTGTGAAGCTGCTTTGACTAATTCAATTTTCAGGTACATTAACATGGACTACCTGTTTTTCTCCACACTTCACAACAACTGTCTCGACGTTCTGAACGTATCGTATGACATTGCGTGTCAATGGCACAAGAATTAATGGAGTCGCATGGAGTCGCTACCCGAGTCACACCATATATCCTATTTGCGCATTTTTATTCGGTTCTTCATCCCCAAGTTCCACCTTCCAGCACATATCAAGAAGTGTCAGACAATGTTCTCTTTCAATTTCATGTGTTTTGTGGGTCGTACAGATGGGGAGGCGCCCGAGTGTGGTTGGTCCAACATAAATCTGGTCGCATCAAGTACAAAGGCAATGGGACCCGGCTGTCGTAGGGACACATTAGACGATCATTTTGGGGATTGGAACTGGAAAAAAGTTGTTGGCTTAGGTATGTGATTTACGCTCACTCATTATTCTTGTTTGGTTAATAATTATGGGGTCAGGCGCATATCTCGTCCATAAAATGCAGGAAGCTGTCATTGAGAAGGCTGATCACGAGGCTGCATTCCAGGAGTTCAATGCTGCGATTTCCTCCGACCACAGGTCAGCATGGACAGTGGAGATGGAGAAATGGGAGGAAAACCCCAATGACACGTCAGTCACTAACCCCCTCAAGTCCAAGTCAATCCGTAAGCTTTATTTTACTATTCAAATTATATCTACTGAAGCGTCTATTATCCAGAAATCACGCAAGCTGCAGCCCGTCTGAAACTTGCAGAGATGGAAGCTGAAGAACTCGCTCGTGGGATTGACCTATCTCTGCACCCCGACATCTCACCAAGTGTACTTATCGCGTCGGGATTAGACCTCAAAGAGGAAGAGTAAGTGGCTTTACCTAAATGCTACCAGGTGAAGACAACTAACACCTGGGACAGACGTCGTGTGAGAGCAGTATCCGAAGGAATGGGTCTCCACGTTTCTGATATACAGAAAGGCACACTCGTGCGAATGAGGAATGTCCTGCGTCGTAAGATCGAAACGTGGAGAAGTGCACAGGTTCTGTACAAACCTGCGGTACAGATTCTCACTACTACTGTGGTTTCCGACCCTCATTAGCCATTTGAGAATGCTGAGGATATCCGCCTGTGGTTGCCATCTAGTCTGAAAGGCAAACCATGTGATCCCCGACTTCAAGCTTACAAATGGGATTTGCAGTATGCCCAGGCCCACGATGTGCTCGAAGAGCTTCGACAGTGCCTTCGCGTGCGCTGTTCTATGCTTACATTCAAGCGGGAGTGGGTTCATGGTCAAGGCTCCAACACTCGTGCTCAGAATGCACTTGCTCGTGTGCATGGGCAACAAGTGGCATGTACAAAGAGATACAGGGTTGCGTGGGAGGCGCTGAAGACCCTGGCACCCCTCTTGAAGAAAGTGGGATGGCGAGGACGGCTGCAAGACCTGAAGGATGAAGACGTGAAACCATTAGTGGACCCTTTCAGCAGAGAGACCGAAGGCTGCCGCCGCCTGACATGGATCTGGATGATGACGGGTGTAGATACAGGTAGCGATGGGGGCGACATGGATGGTTAGTTTTTGTTTGATTTTATAAGCTGTTACTGACAACGGTCTCTGAATCTTCTGCTAGGAGTTCACGTGGAATGGTGCAAGTCCAGAGCAAGAGCAATGCGCTGGGCGGAGGAGATAGAATTGTTACAGGAGGAGATGCGGAGGGTGCTACAGTTTTTCGATTGGCAAGCCAACTGGTGGAATGAGCAGCAGGACCGGCTCGTCTGTGAGACAGCAGCTCAACGCGAGGGCTTGGTAGCATATGCTCACAAACAGGCACACATCCGACGTCAGCTCGCATAGCGCTTTAGAGTGCTGTAGACCCCCTACCTTCCCCAGCTATCCCCTCCGACCTCGAGCCTCATATCAACCACCGTGCCATCACCGGACAACATGCAATTCCCCGACCTCATGCTACCTGTTTCATGTGCCTAGTGTAGTCAACCTTCTGTAGTGTAATGAATCTTCTATTGTGCCTAGCACTTCATTGCAATGAACTGTCTTGATATTTTAGTTGCCGGGGAATAAAAATATGTAGTTGCCGAAGAACGAGAATATATAATTGCCGGATGATAGGAACACTACATATACGGACAGCTAGTGTACTGAGGGGCTGGGCTACTACTAGGGAGGCAGCTCTGATGGTTAGCACATTCTGATGCATTATAGAGAGGCTAACAAGCATTGTTAATGCAATACAGTTGTGTGGTAAGTACCAGATATAATGCATTATGCCTACAGGGACTTGTGTCATTTGGAAGGTCAATATCAATTTGGACGACCTACACTTACTCCATACGATCGGAGGCGAATCCGTGGAGTTGAAGCCGTCAACCAAACTGTCCACAATGTTCACGGATGGAGTACAGGTCAGATGTGTCCATGTTGTCGTACAGCGTCCTGCTGTTGCACGACTCTTTCCAATTGTTGAACAATGTCTCGCGTATCTCAAGAAGGGTGCAGGTGCTCCGTCAACTGGTGCAAAAGCGGCCGCATTCTCTCTAACGCAGAACAACCAAGAGTACCCTTGCAATCGTCCTCGCAGAGCTGTGGACCCTGTTCCGGTCACTCTTCTCGAGCGTATCTTCGCCGAGTTCGTGGATGATTGCCAAAATCAACAACCAACTGACCACGATAACGACCTTGTTTGGCAACTTTCGGAAATGATGTGCTCCTTCTATATGGATGAGCTCGCGCGGATGGATGCATTTCGGCATGTGCTCTGCGAGTACGGTATCATACTCGATCCTTCTATGGTTGGCGCGACACAATGTACGACAGACGGACATCTTACGTCCTCCGACGGAATGTTTGTGCAGGTGATACTGAAGGGGAAGAACGAGATCGGATGCGGCGCTGCCGAACCATTCCTGGAGGCAATGTTATACCACCGCAAGTTTATGGAAGAGTCAAAAATGGAGATAGCCAAGCTCTGGTCTGTCTTTCCATGCATCCATATCATTGTCTTTGGTAGTTCATTTCATCAGATTCATTGCTAAAACCCTTTATTGACCACAACTAGGGGCATGCATTGGCTTTGCAGGCTCTGTTTTGACAAACAAGGTCCAGTCTGATATCCTGGGCCCTATCATTCCTCTGTTTTGACATTCGACAGACGTCCATTTGCAAGTGATGGCGGCTCGTACTTTTGGGGCTCTCAAAATCGCCGTCGAGAAACTCACAAATCTGTACTCCCGTGACATTCCGACCGTCGAATCCAAAAATCAATCTCCAGGATATCCTCATCCTCGGAGTTATTCAACCTCAACCAATGGCATTCAGGAATTCTCGTATGACGAGACTCAAATTCTCAGGGATCAACTTATCTTCTTCGGGGAAACCGTTGGCGATGCGGCTGGGAGCAAGATATGTATCAAGTTCGTCAGGCACTATTCCCCTGAGGCCCACAAATTCTGTGCCAGCAAGGGGCGCGCTCCCAAACTTATCGCCTACGATCCTTTACCCGGCGGCTGGAATATGGTAGTTATGGATGCCCTTGATATTGATGATGATAACTTCCCGCAACGGCCTGGCTCATATCGACAGCTCAGTAAGATGGCTGTTGTGGACCGCCAGCCGCTGAAGGAGGCCATCACCTCTCTCATCCAGCAGTTACACGATGAAGGTTACGTTCATGGCGACCTTCGGGATGCCAATCTTGTTGTGAACGACAACAAAGACTTCATGCTGCTCGACTTCGATTGGGCTGGACCGAAGCAAGAGACCCATTATCCGCTACGTGTTAATCGGACGGATATTCGACGTCCTGATGATGCGCGGGATGGGGAGAAGATTACCACAGAGCATGACTTGGAGATGCTAAATTTGGTATTTGATTCTGATGGTTGGAAGCCGCCTGCAAAGCGCCGCCGTGTAGAAGGGTTGGCGATGACGCCTCTTTCATAATTCATTGTATCACCATTCGCTGTATCACCAAAAGTCCAACTTGCCTACATAATACCAGTCTGTTTAGTGCACCGGGTGACTGCGAGAAATTCAAGACAACTCTCTCAATGACAATTGGGACCTGAGCCAATGAATCAAGATTCACAAAGTGATTTGTAGCGTCAGTGGGACATGGAAGCTATTGACCCGGCAGTAACGCTACTGCTCTGTATTCCCCTATGGTGGTATGTAACAAAGTAGAAATTGCCCGGAAGGGGGTACAGAATCAAAGAAGACGATTGCCGAAAAAGCCAAGGGATGGTGGTACTCAATAATGTTGTTGGAGTTGTCCCGGGTTCGTTGCTTGCCACTAGCGACAATGGATGGCTCATCGTTGTTGTCGCCCCGGTTAGGCTAAACCAACTTGCTGTCCATCTTGAAGCTGGTCTTCGCAGTGTGCATGCCACGGACGGATGTCTGTCACGACTAGTGTAAGATTCATCCTGGAAGGGTCAGGAACGGTTTGACGTTATTCATCCTCAAGGTGATGCAGACTTGTCACCTGACCCAGTGGGCATGATAAGCACCCGCATGTCGCGGTCCTCGATGTCAAGCAGTATTAATCCCATCTTTCTTTGCCGGTATTTACAAGAGTGCAGACACCGCCAGGATGAGACATATTGCATAGGCGTTGAGCGTTTGAACGTTGAGCAAGGACGTCCAGCAGGTATCGTGATTCTCGCTTGTCGTCTAGCACATACTAACTTGTCTTCGTTCACAGTATTAACTCGAAGATTGTTCCGCAGGTTCTTCCCATCTCATTGTCCCTAGTCAGCATGTTCAGCAGTAGCGGAAGAATCTCGTATCGTTATCCGGCAAACGAGCCTAGCTAGTTCAGAAGTGTTCAGAAGTGCGAATGACCGGAAACATTATGTTTAGCCTAAAGTGTGACGTGCGGTAGGACCAAAGTAGTCTGAGAGACACAGATATGGGCAGCTCAAGTAGGGTGCTCACCCTATCGTTGCGGCGCCATCGGAAATAAATGTATCCGCTTGACTTGTCAGGGCCTGATTTCTTTGCTACTCATTACCTTATCCGCTCATTTCAGAGAAGCTTCGGCATACATATAAAAATAGTTGGAATTCTGTTGGAACGCTAGGCAATGTATTGGTTTGACTACATAGAGTAGCATAGGACTCTGACGGACTCGGAGAGCTTGAGACCGTGATTAATAAAAGGGAAGGTGTTCTTGATTGACCTGATCGACACCTTGAATACGGTCGAATTGCAAAGGTGGAGGAGAGCATACCAATATCACCCGGTTCTCCAAAGAAGACATGATCCTCAGAACCTCATTTCACGACAAGAGTGATTGAACCGCAGGCACATGGAAAAGAAGCATGCAGCGTGATGGCACAAATCACCAAGGTACTGAAGATGGAATAATGCGACCGAGAGAAGTCGTTGGGCACGCACGCGAGCATGCACACAGCTGTTGATTGTCACATGGACCGAAGATAAGATCAGTGCCTGGGGGTTGGTGCCAAGCTCACAACTGTTGTGGGAGGTTGTGGCAAGGTTGTGGAATCCTTTTTTGATGATGGGTTGCAAGGCTGCAACTCGGACGCCGGTTCAACAGAATTTTGATTGAAGAGTTTGTAAAGCGACAATGACATGGGAATAACCTTGGCGTTCGCTGATACACCCATGCATGGGTCCAGTGGTAGAATGCAATGACTGAAAAATCAACTGCTCATTGTTTAGACGCTAGAGCACATGCGGATCATGCACACGAAATGCAAAACACGTGTACACGTGTTCAGAATCAGAAGACAGATGACCCGAATTGAGTGTAAATGATTACATGATAAGCTCTTTAGGAACCAAGCACATGTGACACAACCGTACGATTACTTCTGGGCCAAGTACTTGCCTTCATAAAAGCAAATCCTCACGACATGATTACACGACCTAGGCCTCGACTTCGACCTTTTACTCTCCGCCCCCACCAGAAGAGCGGCTAATCGCCCAGGATGGCAGATGGTGATCTCATCGCGGCTCTTGCCCAAGCTAGTACGATTCAGCATAGTGGCCCTGTTTATGACGCAGAGAAAAAGCCCTTGGAGAGCATGGTTGCTGATTCTTTGGAAGACGATGACGACAGCATCCATGAGGGCTTACCGTTCCCTACTGCCGAAGAGATGCTTACTCTCAGACGTGTATCTGATGCAATTCCATGGAATGCGTATCGTGAGTTGTTTCTTCATGCAGATGTAGCCCATTAAAGTCCACATTAATTTTGTAGTGATCGCTGTCGTGGAGCTTGCGGAACGATTCTCTGTGAGTTCATCTTGTCATGTCATATCATGAATGCTCATTTAACTTGCCTTTCAGTACTATGGTATGTTACACACCTTGATCGCTATTACATCGTGTCAATTTTAATGTCATTTTCAAAGGCTCTAGTGTTGTTTTCGTGAGTATTCAATCACTTTTCAATGAATCATTTATACGAACGTCTATCTCCTACAGACCAACTACATCCAGCAACCCCTTCCTCCTTTCTCCCGTACCGGCGCAGGTGGTGAAAATGGCCAATCTGGTGCCCTTGGCGCCGGTCAACAAATGTCTACAGGCCTTACCACGTTCTATCAGTTCTGGTTCGTGTGTTTTTGCTTATATCTTGTTGTCAGTCTCTTGATCGCGGTTTCATTTAGGGCTTACATCTGTCCAATTGCTGGCGCCTATATTGCTGATACCTACTGGGGCCGTTACAAAACAATCTGCTGGAGTGTCGTCGTTGCCATGTTGGGCCACATCATCATGATCGTCTCTTCAATTCCTGGCATAATAGGCGGTCGTGCATCGCTTGGCATATTTATCCTATCCATGGTTATCACCAGCACTGGCACCGGCGGCTTTAAGTCGAATGTCTCCCCTTTGGTTGCAGAGCAATATCGAATAAAAAAATGTTACATTACTACGACTAGTTCGGGCGAGCGCGTCATCGTTGACCCGGCCATGACCACTACGAGAATCTATATGGTAGGCCGAGTCCAACGCACATTTCAAGCTGCTACTCACACCACCTGCAGTATTTCTACCTGTTTATCAACATCGGTGCTCTCGTTGGTCAGATTGGAATGGTTTATGCGGAAAAGGTACGTTCCCAAATGAGATCTTGAATTATCTGATACGGTATTCTAGTTTGTTGGATTCTGGCTGGCCTACACATTGCCGACCGCAGTTTTCTGTATTTCTCCTCTGGTCCTTTGGTATGGCCGTAATCGCTATCGTAGATCTCCACCGCAAGGCTCCGTTCTTCCGGCCGCGCTGCGCATCTGGCGCTATGCCCAGCGCGGACGATGGTCGTGGAATCCACGCACGACCATCAAAAATCTCACCTCTGATGACTTCTGGGAAAGTGCCAAGCCCTCTAACCAGGTCGGCGAGAAGCCCGTATGGATGACCTTTGACGACCAGTGGGTTGACGAGGTCCGTCGCGGTTTCAAAGCTTGCAGCGTGTTCGTCTGGTTCCCGCTTTACTGTGAGTTCTCCGTACTTAATCTTCTATATTGCTTCCCATGTAGCTTATTTTACGCCATACAGGGCTCTGCTACAATCAACTTAATAACAATTTGGTCTCACAAGCTGCAACAATGACCACCAACGGCCTACCTAATGACGTTCTGTCTAATCTAGATCCCTTGGCTCTCATCATTTTTATCCCGATATGTGATTTGGTGGTAAGTATCGTGAAGGAACATAATTTCCCTAGTCTTATTATGACAATAACAGATATACCCAGCACTTGCACGGGCCGGTATCCAGTTCACCTCTCTGAAGAAAATCGCTTGGGGTTTCGCCACAGCAGCTGCGTCAATGATTTGGGCCGCCGTTTTGCAATACTATATCTACAAGACAAACCCTTGTGGGAACCACGCTGCAACCTGCGAGGACGCGAATGGGAACCCACTTGTTTCCCCGCTGAATGTGTGGATTCAGAGTGGCTCGTGAGTTACTTTCTCAAGTTTACACCCTCTTTGTGAATAGATGTTGATGGTGCATATAGATATGTGCTCATCGCCTTCTCTGAAATTTTTGCATCGATCACGGGTCTCGAGTATGCATTTACCAAAGCACCCACGAACATGCGTAGTTTAGTCATGTCTGTGTTCCTCTTCATGACTGCAGGCTCAGCTGCCATTGGCGAGGCTTTCGTCCGTACGTCACCTTTGTTTGTCCATCTGCGAACGTACTCTCACACAATGCAATAGCACTCTCGATAGATCCACTACTCGTATGGAACTATACTGTCAGCGCCGTCCTTGCGGGCGTTGGTGGCCTCCTGTTTTGGATCGCCGTTCGTAAGCTCGACAAGGAAGAGGATAAGCTCAATAATCTTGCAGATGGGCACTTCGTGCAGGAGCTATGATGACGCTAATGTACCAAACCCAGATATGTTTTTATTCTGGTTTACATTCATGACTTATGATAAATGATGTCCTGGGCTCCTTTTCAAGATTTCCTCCACCCTACGAATTTAGTATTTCATTTGCAAGTACCAATTATTGGAGATCTGCAAACGTGTTGTTACTATGGTCAATTTCAATTAGAGGGCACTTGCTTGAAGTGAGGGCCCAAGGCGCCGCATCATACCAGGACGATGATAGCTAAACTAAGTGCTTCTCGTTTCACTAAAAACAATACTGCATGGTACCAGTGATTCATGAATTACTCCTCGCCATCCGAGTTGCTCCTAGGCGAGTGGGGACTGAAGCTTAAAGGCTGAGCGCTGAGCCCCAGACGTAATCAATGCGGAGCGAGAGTCTTTCAGTCGTGAAGTGGGCATGTTTTGAATTTGGCGCTTCTCGAGCAACTTGCGGTTTTCACAGGGGTAAAGATGAAGGCGGGTAAGGCCCGTATCACAGCATATGTACCAACCCTACCGCATTCCAGCGTCAGATCACGCTGAGTACTTTCCAGGAAAACATGTTAATGCATGAGTAAAACGAGAAGAACGCAGGAACATGTGAAGGAGTGGTTA